TCGACATCGGAGTGAAAGGGTGTGAAAACCACGTAGAAATCTGTGCGAAAGGGTGTGAAGACCATGTGAAGGGGGATGAACACGGTGTGAAAGAGTGTGACACCACGGATCTCACACTCTGTGCAGCGTGGGACGACTGTCCGAACAACACTCATTGGCACAGCTGCTTCGGAACAAAACTTGCCGGATGAATGGAAAACCATGGAAAACCATTGAGGGAGGACGATGGCTTGTTGGGACGAGATGCGTGCAGAATTGATGAGTGGCCAGCAACAGACAGGAATCCAGTGGCTCGATGAACGGTAAACAGAGGCTGCTCCGGAGAAACCTGAGATCCACTGGAAGTATGATGGATTGAAGAATGTGGTTGAAGAGGAGACGCACACCACATGTTTTTGGCCGGAACTGGTCGTGGCAAGAAACCACCTATGCCTATATATTAGATCCTATTACCAGCACCACCCAGGTCGAGTTGTTTATAGACCCCCCAGGTCAGATGTATTTTTTATCTAACCACCCGACCTGGGTGGTGTTGGTAGGATCTATTAGGTGATCCTTTTCGCAAACGAACCTCTGACTTCACGTTTGGACCAACGAAGACGAACCCGACCAAGGCGTGCGCTGAAAGGCGCGTTCTTCCGACGGACCACGGTGTCGTTCCGCGATGCGGACGGAGCGGACTGGCTGTGATGGCTGTGACATATTGCGCCACAAACCTTGAACAACCATGAACAACCTAGAGCTGGAAGCATTCTACGGCCCCTGTTGTGGCATTCGTGATCCTGGTATATCCTGGCTTTGGCTAAGCCAAGCGCGAGGCCCCCCCCCCACACCTGACTGGCGAAGTAACAAAAAGAAGAGGCACAGATTATACCAGTTCGTTGCTTCACTATTAAAGTCACAATATACAGACAGGTCCTGTCCTTTGACCAATATGCCATGTTTCGTCATGGCCCAGAAAGGTTCTTTGGCCCGACGAAGTCCCAGGAATGTCCCTTTCTCACAGTGTTGTGCTCGTAGAACACGAAAAGAAAACTAATCCGTTGAAACAGTCTTGGCTCTGTTTCCAGCCACTTTGCTGCTTTTTCTAATTAAGTTCTTTGTTGGAGGGGTTTTCTTCACAGCCAAGCTCTTGAGATTCACCGCTTCTGGTTCTTCTGGTCCTTCTGGTCCTTTACACACCATCTTCCGATCCTCCAAGTCTGGACATCGAGGCCACGTGGCCACGTCGACGTTCGCTCGTTCACGCCCGGGAACACGGCCTCGTCGTCGTCCTGGACAACAAACAGCAGGAAGTACGTGGATCATCTGCAGGTCAACCTGTTTTGGAGATTGGGATGGATTGGGGACTAAATGGGACTAGTACTACTAAACAAGAACAGGGATAGAACGTTTGGTGAAGCGGATCACCGTTTGCAGGGGAGGAAAGCCGGCTCGGTAGTGGATCATCGTTGACCCGTGAGCCGACTCATGAGCCACGACCAGGGGTGATGTTCCCATGACACATCTCATCCATAGACCAGAAGATAGTCTAAGACGACGTAAAACATATAGACTGATGATGACCCCCGCATCTGCAGGCAAAGATGACCACGACGCACCTCCACCTGAGTCACTCTTGGATTCCGTGGCCGCTGCTGCTTGGCTTGGGGCCACAGATGGACCCAGATAGCACTGCCATTGCCTTTCTTTGGGAGCAAGTGATTGTTAAAAGCTCCGACTTGCACTGATTTTATTCTTTTATCCCTCCTGGACCTTAATTCTCGTGAGACTCCAAATTATCGAGTCCACCAGCAAACCTCCACCACCCTCTCAAGCACTCTGGTGGTCCGGACCATTCATCACCCTGGCAGCCAGGGCCACTTGCAAGCAGAGCCTGCAGAATGCTGCTTTCAGCGGTGCTTTGGATGCCCTGCTCTCCGAGCTCCGGCCGCTCAGGAGGGGCGGCAGCACGCGAGCTACTTACTTGAGCGACGTGGCGATAAAGCACCAAGCGATGACTCCAAAGATGACCCCCTTCAGTTTCAAACAGAATCGCGTTCAGTGAAATCTCAGTTTTGGTAACGCTGATTTCATCGTGATTTGATTGATTTGGTTTGTCTTGTGCGGAGAGTTTCATGTCGGAGCCGACCCTGCAACACATAGGAAGTTCAGCTCAGGTCATGATGAGTTCTCTTTCCTTCAAATTCTTATGGAAGATTTGGGATCCGCCTGAGCCGAGCCTCGCCGGTTTTTGGAAGGTGTTTTGATGTTGATTGAAGGAGTTTCTTCGTACAATACAAAACCAATGCAACGTTTCGTGGTTTATGATACGGTTAGTAACCGCAGTCTTTGCGAATGTGATTGAACTTTGAACAACATTTTGGGTTGATGCAGGCTTGGCTGATGCGTGCGTGTGGGTGTGTGTCCGGTCGTATCAATTGCTTGCCCAACAACCACTCTTTTCCTTGAAGTCGTCCAAACATACTGTTTTGGCATGTTTGGCAAATCCAGTTGTTCCCTTACCCCTACGAACTCCTTCTTTGCGCCCAAACAGGACGGGCCAAATCTGACAGATTTAATCATGAGGCTAGCTGATATGACTAGCTCTTGGTGACACATCTTTCGAGGTTAAGACATTGAATCAAACATTGAACTCAAATCCAATAGAGTCCAATATAATAGAGTCCAATATACATTGATTACAATAGAGTCCAAATTTGATCCAGAGTCTGTCTACTGTGGATTGACCCCCCCATACCATGATAGACAACTATTGACTATTGCTGATATGTTGTAACTGAGGATTGGTGTACTCTTTGTTGTGCCGTATATTATACTATGTACCCATTGAGCCAGGCTGGAAGCGCCTAAAGAGGGGAAGGATGCAGGCGCTGTCGTTCCACAAACTTCAAGACGGGAAGTACGATGTTTTGCCAACTTCACGGCATTGAAAGCCACAGGTCAGCCAATGGACACTTTTAGACTCCAAACATCTAGGCTTCAGAACGCTTTCTTCACGCTGAATAGCAGGTACGAATTAGACTGACTTGTAGAGGCTTGGGTTTTGCAAAGACCTGGGTTCTGTGCTGCTGAAGCGATTAGTTTACGTCGTATTTTTGCGCTTGTGTGAAAAGCTCCCAGTGAACCCATCCGCACGAATTGCAGGTGTTCGCAGCAGCGTGGCGCTGACACGCTGCCTGGTGAAGCAAATGGAGGTCGGCAGTGAGCGGTCAGTGCCCTTGCGCGAGTGAGAGCTTACACTACCCAGTCAGTGGCTAACCTTCAAGCTCAACCTTCAGTGCTTAACCTTTAAGCTCAACCTTTGAAACAAAAAACCTACTATAATTTATTACAAAGAACTTATATAGGTGAAAACAGAAGATCATTTCCTGCCATGCCTGCGGAACCTAAAACCCGAGACTTGTTTGTCATGTTGCAAACAAACACGTTTTTCCATGTTGGAGCGAGTATTTTCATGTCCGAACGAGTATTTACGGGACCGAACGGTTATTCTGCGTCCAAGCCTCAAAATGCAATATGTGGTCGCATCGGAATAGTGTACCGAAGAATCGCATATGATAAACCTCTCACACTCTTGAAGCAAGCATTTGTTTTCTTGTCGCCCCTCTCGCATCCACATCATCATCAGTTGTGCACAGTACCTTTTCAGGATCGCTGGAACAATTTTGAAGGTGCCTTCTTTGCCCTTACCAAGCCCAGGGAGCCCAGGGTTGATTCAGGAAGTCGGGTACGATACGAGTTCAATGATTGTATTAAGATAAATGTACCATATATCATGATATATATATATGATTCAAACTGTCTCTCGTTACAACACCATTTGCATCTCACAGTAGATGCTTGGTGCTTCCACGCATTGAGCGTCTTCCTCCAATGGCAACTTGGGTGGTGCAATCTCCATTGTTTTTTTGTGATGAGACATCACCCACGATTCACCAAGCCAAGTAACCAAGAGGAAGGCACAGGAGCTTGTTCATGCTTTTACAGCTTCAGTCCGCACGCACCAGGTCCGGTGCCCCCCGTACCCCGCCCGCCGGCGGCCGCCCTGCACAGCTCACCTGCCCGTTTCATTTCCTTCCTTCCTTCCACCGGCGAGGAGGGCGTGGAGCTGCCGGAGGCCATTTGCCAGGCGGTGAACGAGTCTCCAGAGCTTGTCAGGAGTGAACCCTCCGAGCCGAACACGTGGATGGCCCCCGGCGTGACTGGACGTTCGGTGTTCTTGAGAGGAAGAAGTAGAAGGTACAAGGATGGCTGTATATTTTGGAGGAGTCTTTGCATGTTGTTTTGACCGAATTAGTCAAGATGTTATTTCTCAATTCAGTTGACCTACTCTCCCAAAGCTCACGAGCCCCAAGGACGGCGTTGTTTCAACCTCACCACATCGGTTCCAAAAACAGAAAGACAACAGTTCAACAATGTTCAACAGGCTCGGACGAGCCCTCCACGAATTCACCGGATACAGATCTGGTGTTTGAAACACACTCCAGCAAGTCCTGCAGTACTTTGCCCGCACGGAAGTGCTCAACACCAAAATTCAGAGTATGCATTCAGTATATGAATGAATGTGACATAATATGGTAACTTTGCACTTCAAGGTCACTGGATCATGTTCAATTCTTGGATGAAGAGAGGTCGGTGCCAGGCTGTTCCACCGTCGGTTTCACCCGATCGTGTCATGGTGAAACCGAAGTCCGGGGATTCGGTGCAATCGGCCTCGCGGCACCTGCTCAAGAGGTGTTTTCGGGCGCAGTCACTGAGCTGGGATTCGTTTCGAAGGTGGTAGGAGACAAGCTGATACCAAAAGAATACACAGATGCAAACATCATGTCATCATGTGCTTGAAGGGTCGTTTTTTGCCGAGGAGCTTTGCCTTGAGCTAGAGCAAGTTTTCATCATGTGTCCTGTCTTACAACGACGTTCAACATGTTCAGAAGGCCATGTTCAGCCCTGCAAGCCTTGCAAGTGGTTCATCGAGATCATAGTTGAACGCGCTGGCCATGCGCATTTTCGTGAATAATGTTGATGGATATGTGGCAGGCCATCCGGTGTGTGGTTTGTTCGGCTCGTTGTGATTGTTGATGGACGGAAAGCTCAATAAGCTCAGACTGAAAGCTTCAAACTCTCAGCTTTTGTGGGATTGCACCAAGAAGGCCGGCCTCCAAAGTATGGACATACTGTAATTACACACTGCAATATACTGCAATTACAGGCCTTCTGAGGCTTCGTAAGACTTGAAAGAGTTACAAGTGACAGTGACAAAGGTTGCTTCAATATTGCTTCAATCATGTTCAAGATACAACAGAAACTGCTTATATAATTCTGTGTGGGAAGGATCCTATAGTACCAAAATTCTTTGCCAAACAGATCAAGGAATCCCGAAAGCAATATGTGTATATATATAATTATATATACACAGGCTTGCCATTCAGAAAACAGCCATTCAGTTGACATCTCCTGGTGAAGCAACTCTTGTCGACATTCTCAAGTTCTCCCGTTCGTCAGCTCGAGACCCCCACTCCCCCGCGTCCTCGGACCCAGGCGCGATTTGTGCCGACCTGGTCAAGGTCTCGAAAAATATCGCGACTTGGCCTCCGGATCGCGACGTCGATGAAGACCGGACCGGACCCGATCACCCCTGTGACCGCCCCACCCTGTGACCGTCTGTGAAGAAACACGGCCGTTGGGCCCCTTTATGTTGCGCGAGATAAAGCGAATCCGAGTTGTTTTTTGGAGATTTTTTAGAAGACAAACATCTCAGGATGGTTTTGTATTGGTTTTGTATAAAGCAGTTGGCATCTTGAAAGCTTCAGGATTTGGTACATATTTAGGCACAACCATCGGGCTTCTTCGGGCTGGGCAACACTCAAAATGAGTATACAAGTCAAGGTTCCAGCCTAAGATTTGAGTGCAAAAAGCTCGATCTATCCTGGTTCCAGAGTATATAGTTGCACTTCGAAGATCTTGGACATCTCCATCCACCTTAGACTATAGAACAATCATGAAGAACATATGTTGTGACTCTTACAGCACACCTCCTACCACTTTGTGTGTTCAACCAAGAGCCCTGTCCGAACTCACCGGGGTGAAGCCGGTGAAGGCCGGTGTCACGACATTGGTCCTTCTTCGGTCCAGCGAGTGATGAGGTCGGGACCCGAAAGTGCATCCGTGATGAGTTGGTGCCACCCATGGTGAAGCGCATCGTGCCAGGGCGCCCCAGAAAGGAAAAAGCGCGGGGATCAGGGAGACGTGCAGTATACACAGATATGTAAAGATTTTTAGACAATGATCATGTCATGGAGCCACATATATATATATAGCGGACATATTCTTGACCTAGATTTTCTTAGAGATAGTTATATATAAGCATTTCCTCGCATTATTTGGTTGGATGTAACTAGATGATATATTGGATAATTGGATATCACTAGAAACAATAGATCATCAGACACTGTGACAGGGTCAGCACAGACCTGCTTGGAGAGGCTTCTGGTTGATACCAAAAGCATCAAAGATAGTCATAGTGTCATAGTGAGGCCTTTCGAAGCTCCATTTGGACATGCAAAGGAGTTAACCCAAGTGATCCTTGGGAAAGTCAGTGATTCAGCACCTTTGCTTTTGCACATGATCCTTGTACCTGCCTGCAGGTCCCTATAGGACCTAGGATTGACACCGCATCTTACTTGCGCGTCAAGCTTGGCCGCACATCAAGACAAAAGATTCGGCGTTGAACAGCTGAAGGCTTCCTTAAGGGAGCAAGTTCAGCAAGCACAGGGTGAATGCTCAGCAATAGGTGAAGTCCTCAGGATACTCCTGAAATGCAATGGCCCACTCACGTTCCCCGCTCCATACCCCATTGTGGATGGCGCAGTGTGTGCAACTTGACACTTCTTAAGTTCATTTGGGTGGGTGCGTCATGGAATCATCATGTTAGTTATATGGTATCTTTGCAGTAATTCGGTTCCTCATTTGGGGTGTGGGTCTCAGTCGCACCAAGTTGTCCGCATGGTAGAAAAAAGAAGCAACAAGTCCGCATGTTTGGGAGGCCATGTTCCTCTTGAGGGGACTAAACTCCCCCAATTTCATTTGGTACGGCCGGTCTGCTGGTGCGGGAGTCCCGCACTCTTCCCGGGTTGCCCCCGGTGCCCAACCGGGGCAAGCGGTCACTCGTCACTCTCCTAGAGTCGGCTTTTCTGGTTCAGAGATCTTTGTGTGGAGCCAGAGCAGCAAGAGAAGCCCGGACGCAGCAAAGAAGCCAAGCAAAGCCAAGCACGGACGCAGCGTGTCAACAAGAAATCATGAAAACAAGAGACGCCCCATGAACATGGCAGAAGTTGAGGCCACAGATGCCAAGGGCACGAGAGCTGTTTGAAGAACTGGCATATACTGCAAGGCATCTGTTTGCCGGAGTTTGTACAGATATTAACATGATGTATCGGACTCGGGGCGTCACTTCTTCAGAGACACAGACAGGGCTAAAAAGTACAGGACCTCTCCTTTGCCTCTACCTGCCTTGAATTACAACGTCTATATAGAAGTGACATGTTGCAAGACAACCCACACGTGATCACTTCTTTTTCTCACCAGGTGTGCTATAAGTCTCCCCGATTGTTTCGAAGCATTCACCAAGCAGCTACAGCTCTCCAGTTAGCTCCGATGGAGAACGAAACCGAGGATGAGAAGGCGCTGTCACTGAGTGAGAAGCATCAATCTGCTTCCACTCATTTCCACAGAATCATTTTTTTGTCAGATGATTCAAATGTATGTCGCTTGCTTTTTCCTATTATATATCGATGTCCATTTTAGCTTAGCAGTTTTGTTTAATTCATAATCGGATTCCTCGAGAATGCAAACTACACCTGAGTTGGTTAGCATAGAATGCCGTCCAACTGAGATGAACGCTTGGACAACCCAGGTGGACAAATTGACTCTGACACACCTCTAATTAAAGGGAGCACACCAGTTCTCCAGTTTGCTTCGTAAAGATCCCCAAACTGACTAGCTCACACCCCTACCTGAGACTATTAGAGGTACCTCTTCAGAGATTCAGCCACTCTTCCTGATACAGAAACAGAGAAAAAGAAGCGCCCAGACGATGCGCTCGAAACAGGTCGATCTCCAAGGCGCCTCGGACCGGGCAGCCACCTTGCTGGGTGCCGTGAACACCCGCGGCCGTTATCACAAGCCGGAGGCTGATGACCAGACGTGCGAAACGTGCGCGAAACGTGCGCGAAACGCGCGCGACCACCGACGTGAAACATGACGAGGTGCGCAAAAAGCAAACGAGTGCGGTGTTTGGATTGTGGTCCAAAGCCGGGTCGTTGGTGCAGAAGTTCGTGACCTATAGGGCCAACGGCGGGATCGGGGGTATTGAGCGAGGGTCCGGTGGAGGAAGATTGAGGTTCAATTCTCTTGGACGCCTGGATAGTGTGCTTATCCTCCTTGTGATTGTGCATCCTTGTGCATGCTTTTGGATGGGAAAGTGCTGGCCTGCCCAGAGGAATGAAGCCGGTTCCAGATCTTGGACAGCTGGACGAACTCTCCCCCGGTGACCATGGACCATGTGGACTAGCTGGCAGTTGTTGGACACCTCGACCAGCTCGGGCTATGGACTTGGACTCCGGGTTCTCCCGATGTTCCAAGATCTGCTGCTTCTCTTGCAGGAACGGATTTTGGAGCAGGACTATCAGGTGCGAGTGAGTGGTGGCCCGGGCAAGGCAACGGGACATGTTTTCTGAGCAACGGGACATGTTTTCTGAGTATGGAACAAGCGTTCGTTCAGATAAAACATGATTAAGGCAGTTGGATTGGAAAGAAGTGATGCGGAATGAGTGCGTTTTTCGTTCGTGACTCCACTCGAGCAATCAATCCACAGCAAAAGCAAAGCCCTTGGATGAGTGGAACAACTTCTCCATCGGTACTCCTAAGGTTACCGGTGGATGTTGGGGACCAGGAACGTCATGGGGACCAGCTCCAGTCATTTCAGGAGCTGATGTACGAAAGCGCAAGATGGAACTGAAAAGAGGAGACGTCATGTCAGTGTCAAGGGCGACTCCGTTTGAGGTACCCGGTCTCTCTCCATTCTCAGCCTCGTTTGAAAGAGGACACGGCACCGGTCGGAGTTTCTAGACTGAGAACGGTGTGATTTTGGACATTTCCTAACAGATCAACCCAGAATTGTATGTTAGGTGTCCGTATTTCTGTGCTGGAATTCTGGAGCCTCAAAAAAACAATACAAACGTCAACCCACCCAAACTGAACACAACACTATAGAACACGTACTACATATTAGACTATAGACTATAACCTTGTCTTCAGACCAAGACCAGGTTTGACCCTCCATTAAAACAAAAAAAAACTTGATTATTTGAGACATATGACATATATAGTTACACATATATACCCAGAAGTAAAGAACAACCTCTTTCATTCCACCCCTGGGCTGCCGCAGTTGGATCGTGCCCACGTGCTGGGCAGTGGCGCCAACGGTGCAGCCGGGAAGCCCGCCTGGCGGACGCGGGCGGGATTTGCTGCCTGGGGGCAGGGTATCACCTGTTTGGGTGTGTCCATTCTTACCACAGTCAGTAAACGAGCAAGTAATCCCTTTTAAACAAGGCCTTTACAAACCCAACCATCATCATCCACTGTTACAGGTAATAGGATAGACCCAAATGATTGTTGATTTTCTCCCATGAGTGAAAAGACTACCATCCGCCTCTGCACTGTCGAACGGACAAATCAAAGAGTTGCACCATGGGCAATCGAAAATGGACAAGTCAAACCATAAGTGAATCCCCATGGGGAAGATTCCCTACATCCCTATACATCCCTACATATTCAATCACCCTACATCCCTATACATCCCAATACATCCGAGCTGGTCTGCGGTTTGGAGGGTCGACTCTGGGGCTCGGCAACTCCGGTCATCCGGTCAACCCTCAGACGGATGGCAAGCTGGAAGACTGTTGTCCACAAAGCAGTGGTTGTCAGGGTCCATGTTAGTCTTCGCCGACGTAATCATAAGAGCTCACAGAGTGGTGTCGAGAAAGGTGGCTCAGTTCGTGCTGAAAAGCGCCAGTCATAATGGGTATACTTTCACAATGTTTAAGCCATTCGGATCGTGAAGAAAGTATCCTGGAAGCAAAAGCACGGTTCAATCATTGATTCATATTAATTATACTAGTAGTATGGATTCTATAAGTTTCTCAGAGTATAGCCAGAGCACATCTCAGACGACCATTCTTCTCATCATAATATCATCGGAACAAATTCATAACCCAACTATGAACCAACTATGAACCAAAGCAATCTTGTCGTTCTGAGATTCAGCCGGAACTCACCCAGAATTTACCACCCTTCACCCATCACCGTCACCCGGAACCGGGACGATTTCGACCGTCAGGTTTGGCTCGTGAAGTGCAAGCGCACGGGACGTTCCTTCGCCGCCAAGTCACTGGGCCAAGTCGCTGCGTGGGACGGGATGTGGTTCAGCTTGGTACTCATACATGCACTTGGTACTTAGTGTATGTGCTGTGTATACTGATGTATACTGTATAATCTGTATATATATATATATATCAACGCGTCCTCAAACAAGGCAGGGATTGAGATCAAAGGTCAATTCGTTGGTTTTGGTGCCATGTTTGGTTTACTGAAGACCCAAATTGACCTAACTCTTGCAAATGGTCACTAGGATGAAGACAAAGACTTTCTCCCACGGTCATTTTTTGGGAACACCTTCAGCGGGTCGTGGAAGATCATCTTTTATCGGAACATGTGCGACCTGTTTGGGATGATGTGTACTTTGATAACTACCAGGACCATCCTGTCTGGGTGTCCTGTCTGGAGATCCCGGGTCGTAGTGTAGAGTAGTCCAGCCAGGACACCCAGACAGGATGGTCCAGGTAGGAGAGCTGGGGTATGTAGGCACCCGGCTTTATATTCCAGCTATTTCAGATGTTCATGCAATGTGTCAGGTATAGGACACGACTGAAATGACCTGAGCTGCCACCTGACCCTGGCACCTATCATGCAGTGGTTTCTTGGATGTTTCGTTCCAACTCTTGAATGAAGGGTGAGTATGGAATCTGGTAGCTTGCAGATGCATTGAAATTGGCCCCAAGAATTGCTGAGTGACCTTTTCATTGATGATTTTGATTAACATCACCTCTCAGAATGAAGTACCTCCCATTTGCACACTTCAGGGAGCGGTTGAGAGGTGAAGTTCCGAGGATACCTGTGTCCATCCACACACCTGGTGGGTCTCAAAGCGTCCCCCAAGTTGGAAAAATAGACAGGAACTGGATGGAACTGGTAAATTTGAATCTTCAAGTTAACATATTCATAAGTTGGAAACTGCACATGTACAATTGAGTCCACGACTGACCCAGGACCTACAATCTCCCTGGCATCTCTGAGCTGAAGTGTCCGGTTTCCAAGCAAACTTGGCGTGCAGGAGCACCCAAACAATCGACCAGGTCAGGGGATGCACTCTGGAAACTTAGTGAAGGGGGCCTTCATGGTTCGTGGTGCCCCTGAGATGAAAGCCAAATGCTTCCATAGACGTAGGACCTCGGCCATATTACAGGTATTTCCTTTGTTGCGCACTGGATTTACTGGATGTCTTTCGTGTTTGTGGGTTTGTATGGTTTTGTTTATGTTAAAGTGACGTGCTTTGCAGAACGGTGAGATGCAGCTGCTGCTGGTTGCCCGACCGTCCATGACATCGCCCTGTCCCGTCCATGAGCTCGCCAGGAGTGCGTCTGGTCGCGCGCAGAGTCTCAACAAAATCCGAGGTGTTATGTGGAAAAGGACTTGCACAGGACTTAGACACCAAAAAACAAGAAAAAAACATACAACTACCCCAAAAAAGCACCCACGTGCCATACATTGGCACCATCACTGAGGTAAGGAGATTGAGACCGAGGTCGAAATCCTTCTGACGGTGGACCATCCGTACTTTGGGCCGCATGATGTTCGCGGGGGACCATCCTCGACTTAATCACCTGAAAGAGGCCCCCTGAAACCTGCAGTACCCTACAAAGCATCGAAGGTTGACCTCCCGAACATAGAGGAATTTGTTCACCAAGGTCCCCCGGTTTTGACTCACAGCCGCTTGTGTCGACATATTTTGCTTATTATGTTTATGTGGTTTCCTTTGGGATGCGAGTCGAACACAAAACAGACGTTTAGTTGCCCTTCTTGTGATCACACAGCCAACTTGGAACGTGAGAACTTGCAATTCTCTTGCACCAGGGCCACCAGGGACATGATGTGGACATTGCCCAGTGCCAACAGACCGTAGCAGGATACCTCAGCATGATCCCAAATTGGAGAGTTCACCCAAAAGGTGCCAGCCCCCTCATCGCGTCCGTCCACTCCAAAATAAAGTTGCGTGTGTGTGTGTGTGTGTCGTAAGCCTGGAGTACTGCTAGAAACACATAGAAACACACCACGGGTCCGTGGTCTTTATGTGATCCCCAATTATGCCAAAGACCACACCTTTTCGACGGCTTGGTGCTCGCCGGGGTGGGGGGCTGACCGACCATGGACCTAGACGCGCTTCGTGGGCGGGAGACGCCGGGAACGACCAAGGAATCTCGCACGCATGGTGGATGCCTATGAATCGAAGGTCAGACGGGGGGACCCCCCGTCGATGTGCCAAGCAGAACACAAAACAACACAGTTTTCAGATGATACGTAGCTTAGTCAGCTATGGATGCTATAGGTGAGGCAGTATCAACCATGCAGGCTGTGTTTCACACCCAAAAGCTTGAGTATCTTGCCACAGACCTCGAAATTGGGCGCGCCCGATTCTACGCGAACGAAGACTGGGCTTCTTCTGCGCTCTGAATGCCCTCTTTGCAGGATACTTTGACCCTCATCATGGAGCTCCTAGAAGGTGGTGAACTCTTTGATCGTATCATCTCCCTAGGCGCCCCGGCTCGCCGCGCAACCCGCACCGCGTGAACGCGCACGCGTTAGGCGGGGAGGCGTGTTTTGGCTTGGGCGGGCGTGGGTGGGCATGTGGCGCCAGGCCAAACGTTGGCACGAGGTTGGCAAATTCTGCGCAGGAGCCCAAAGGGCTTGTTTGTTATAAGTTATAAGGGTGTACTGTACCATCCGTGTTGAATGGACTGGACAGTCCCTGTAAGTTTTACAGGCCCTGTACAGCAGGCCCTGCAACTTACCGTGATAATTCATAATACTTCCAAATTTTAAAGGTGGCAGGGGAATTTGATGGAGACTTCGATGATCTTCCATGTTTTGCTTTCACCGTGTGGTTTCGAACCACCGCCCCCCCCCACCCTTCTCGGCTCAAGCGCCATGCGTGACGCCGCCCACATGGAACTGCGGCGGACGCCTGCGTTGCCCATCTTCGCAGCACTTCCACAGCTGGGCAGCCCGCCGTCGGTGTCTGAGTCTGCGAATCCGCCACAGTGGCCGACGGACATCGAGCTGCCTGGCGTGAGTGCTGCGAGTGCTGGGAATGGTGGGGCGATCCCACTACCGCAGCATGAGCCTCCAAGGTTAGAGGCACGGCATGGTTTGTTCTTGAGAATGGGTTCCGTTGATTCTGCGCGGGAGTTCGGATTGTTTCTTGCCCAGAAGGAGGATAAGGGGGTCACAGTAGTTTCCTGTTTCAACTCATTCAGTTGTAAGCTGACCCAAGATGTTTCACAAGCATAAAGCAAAGTTAAAGACAGGGCTATGTGTTGCTATCCGCATATCAACACCCCCACATCATCTCTGTGCGGTGAGAAAGAGGAACCTGTTTTGTTTGTTCGTTGACCCTCACACACCCTCACAGTTCTCTTGCAAATCTAAGTATTTGCCGCAGATGACTCCAGCACCAGTACTTGTAGGATTGAAGGACACAGGTGGGTCGACCACCCCGAGCCTTGAAACGACCCAAAGCGAGGGCCGACCCCAGCCCCCAGCCCGACACCCCGCGCGAACTCACAGACCCCCGATCATTGGGGGTGTCGGTGTGGGGGGATTCAAAAGGGCCCCCCTTTTGGGGCTTGTCCTTGAGACTCATCCTTTTCCCACCTGGGGTGCGCCCGAAAGACTTGCTGAGCAATGCTATGCGCTCCGCACGACAGCACCAGGGCGAGGCCTTGGCTGTCAGCATCCCTGGCTGTGCTGAGGAGGGCTCCTTGGGTGTACCTTGCCATCCAAGGGAGACTGCATGTCGATTTTTTGGGGGGTTGGGTTGTGAGGTGGCCCTGATGTGGTAGCTACCAAAATATGATGCCAGCTACATGAACCCCGTACCTGGAACATCCTGGAACCACTGAACTATCCGCGTCTCGGCTGACATGCCAACGGATACTGAACAGCTTGTTGAATATCACCTTGGTCGAGGATGAGTCGGATCCATCCAGTCCGAACCGAGAATTCGAGTGCAAGGATTCTGGAACTTATCCAGATTTGAGCTCTGGTTGAAACTCCTGGATCCTCAGAGATGCAACCCTATGCATATATCTAGAATCTTTCAAGATGGTGGGCCCAGTGATGCGTTTTGAGGTGGCAGCTGTGTAATTGACTTTTGCCAGGCTGGGTATCAGCCACATCTCACACCTTGCCTTTTAAGTTTTGGTGGGTATAAAGGAGGAATGACAACGATTGCCGGTTTTTGTTTGAATCAGGAAGACGTCAGGTAGATGGACATACAGGTTCACCGCTGATGTGACCGGGAGATGGACCGGATGTCAGATGGGACCACGGAATCATCGGCACGTAGAGAGGTTGAACAGCCCTATAGCCTATAGCCCATAATACGTACTACAGGTCCTAGTTCTGGTCTCTCAACCTCTCTTGGTCTAGTTCAATCACCATGCGTCTTCCAGTTTGGGGATGTCCCAACTGCTCGGCTCAGCGGATGTCGTGTCTCTCTCGAGGCCCCTGAGATCTCACCGAGTACGTCTCAGCCTCTTGGTCGGATGGTGTCGACGACAGGAGTTGCGACGCTTCGGTGAAGGCAAGCAACACCAAGAGGCGTGACAAGTACGACTTGGATGTGGGCCATATATGGGTATATTATACATTGATGTACGATCATGTCATCCGTCCGTCGTGCCATTGAGAATTCCATAGCCATGCAACAGGATGCTGGTGTTGTGCGTGTTTGGCGTGTGCCGTTGCAGCTGGAGCACAGCTGAATCATGAAGACTGAACAGGAACATGCACAACCCAGTATGTTAGAATACACTCTCCAGAAAGCTGTGTGAAATCCAAACGTGGATCTGCTTGTTCATCGATCATCTTGACCAAATGCCGCGTTTGAGCTCACGTGTTGTTTTCCGCTCACTGGGATGAAAGGTGCCGAGAAAAAGGGACTGGGGTAACCCTAAACCCATCTAAAGCCTAATCTCCATGAACTGCACCTTTGGAGGGTCCTGGGAATATCTTCTATGTTCATCTATGTTCCTACTTAGCAGTTTCGATATGCCAAGTGGCTTGATGCCAAGGCAGGAGATGCAGAAAGCGAGGGTCGTGGAAAACGAGGGGCGCCCATGACCGAGCCTGATTAAGCTTCAATCATGGCCGAGCCGGGGGGTCAGGGATCATGATGACCGTTGAGATGTGATGAAGATCAACAGCTACAGATGGTGACAGCTCTTGGTAGGGCAGAAGGTTGGTTTCCAAAACAGGTGCTGGGGTTTTTCAGACGCGATCACGATTTCAAGACATCCGGGGCGGTGAGACCTCCCAGTTCCTTGCACTTGGAAACCAACAGAGGTTGAAGGACCCTAGTTCGACTATCCCAGTTCGGTACCCCAGCAGAATCGGTCACTTAAAACCTCTCTTAGGAAAGGAAGATGCGTCAGTCCGTCAGTCCCTACCAGTCATAGGCCATGTAGACGTTCGCTTCGGCGATGGTTTTTGGTGCGCAAGCCCTTTGGGCACGGGGAGACGGGGGAGCCCTGGGGTGAACAGTCACCGGCCGAGGCGTTTGGAGACGAATGACACCGTTCGGGACCCCAATGAACACAGGCGCGCCACGGGCGGCGCGTCTTCGTCACGGCCAGGCGCATGCCACAGAACTCAAGCGTTTTTAGATTGGTTGGAGTTTGAAGTGATTAAAGTCAGGCAATTGGTGCTTGAGGTTAAACTCCCAAGTTCTTTGCAGAAATCCTCAGTTGGTGGGGGACATGCACTACAAGTGGTGTTTGATCATGTTTGATCCTCCTGCTGCGCGAGTTTCTTCGTGACTGGAGTCGTCCTTCCTTCCAGTGTCATCAGTGCCTTTGTGTCACAAGTACGTGAAAACATCTCTCGCTCACCTCAGCGCTCAAAAAAGGCTGGCAGTTGACCCTTGGGTTTTAGATTGAAACCAGAGGCGCCTTAAACAAATAAAAGCAAGCAAACATATATTTATTGCATAAAATAACACATACATTCCATCATATAACTATAACATGTCATTGTGTATCTACTCCTTGTTTTTTGTTGCAATTGCTTAAATAGCGATTAACACGCACATTTGGCTTGTTTGTTTGTCCTGCATAATGATCCGGTTGTCCGTCATGTCTCGTCATGTCGGTGAGCCTGAAGTCGCGCCTCGCGAGCCGCGGCGAGCCGACTCGTTTCAGATGTGCCAGGTGTTCCGATGCTGCGGATGCCTCATTCGGGCTCTCGAACTTGTCCTTGCCAAGGCCTTAGTCGTTTGGGGCACCTGGCATGCACCTGGCGTGCACCTGGCGTGCACCTGGCGTGCACCTGCGTGCACCAGAGCATGAACACTCTGAGTGTAATGTCACCAAATCATTGTCTGTAGATGATGCAGCTCACTTGCTCTTCAGTTCAACCCTCCAATTCAGGAATCACTCGGAATCACTTTTAAGTCCACAACGTGCCAGAAGTCCCATCGCAGATCTCTTCCGGTCAGCAAACCTTCCACACTTTCCACACCGAACTATAGCGTTGGTGCTTCCAAGGCAGTGAAAACGGGTGCCGTGCGGTATCTATCCATATTCCCATCAAACCGGGAGCCGCTACTGTGGGATCTGCAGGGTCTTCCCCTCGCCCCGCCATCGAGGTCGCTGGACCACGAGGCCGGGACGGTGAGCGCGGCAGGGGTTTCCGACCGGGCCGAGCGCCCGCCACGTCCGGTGCCCTGGTGCGGTTTTTAGGACTTATATAGCCACCAAAGTATAGAACAGTAGATGCCCACTAAGAATGTATGAAAGGCGTTTCTATCTATTGCATCAAAAAGGTCCCACTCATCTTGAAGGGTGTCTTGGAGGACAATTTGAGGAAACCAAATTGAGAGAGTCGGCAATGCGCGCTGAGCTTTGTTGAGTATGTTGTATCCAAATCATGAGCCGCAAGCTCTAGGAGGTCCTGTAGTTGCCATGAACCACTGCAGAGAGTACTTCCAGCAGGATACAGGCAATCCCATGGAGAAAGCCATTTGTCCTTTTTTGGGGGCTTTTCGGAGTGCAAGAGCCTGCCAAACACTCGCAAGGACCTAATTTTCCTTTGTACGTCACATACTGTAAACCAGTCCTCGCTTTGGCAAGTCAGTGCACGAGAGGCTGTGATGGATTCGGAAGCTTCCATCGGTCAAAAGAGCACGACGCCTTCAATGCGGCCCACGTCGCCGCCCGTGCAGCCGATGCCCCTCGGAAGGTTAATGGGGTCGCACATGTGAGGCACTGTGTTGCCAGGTGTTCCCAGGGCTTCCCATGCTCCGCTGAACCCCAGAAGATCTTCGATGTTTTTCAAGGGCACACAACAAAACACACACACACACACATTGTTTCTATTAAACACACTATGAGGACTCAATGAGGACCAGCTAAAGTAAAGATTTGGACCATGGAGAAGACCCACCAGTAGTTTTGGGGAGCTTGACCTTACAGTGGTGCTCAAATCGCCAGGAGGAAGTGCTGCTGTTATTTTTCTCACATTCATGTATCCATTTCCGAAGTTCTTTTTGCAGAATGTAGACATCATTTGGGAGAGATCCTGGATGTGGCCCCATGACTACTTTGCGATTGCATTTGAACCTCATGAACCTGCCTTCAAAAGTCGATCTGCCAAAAAGGAGATATGCTGATAGACCAACTCTTGCTCCAGAGGGTCTCGGGTCTACTGATGTCCACTTTAACAGGTGTGTTTGTTGTTTTTCGCTCGTCCATGCTCATGCCTATTTTCTCCAGTCTCGGGTTGAGCTTCTTTCCCGTGGAAGGCCAAGCATTGTGGAGGAGCCAAAGTGCGGCTTCAAGTGGCCGCTTCGCCTAGCTTCGGGGAAAGGCAGTTTTTGACGCGCGTGGCTCCGGAGCCTCTGGGTTCGCCGCAGGCATGGTTCTGGAGCCGCAAGCGCGGAGCATCGGGATGGATCCTGTTGACAGTGATGTTGTACGTGGAGCTATGCTCAGCTGAGAGGGTGGGAGATTTCTCGATTTGGTGGGCTTTGGAGGGGCAAAGGTGGAGCTTTGGCCCAGCAGATCCACAGGTCCAAACATTTGGTGGCAAAGTGAGAGACGCGTGCAAACTATTTGGCCAATCAGCCCCAGAACAAAGGAGGATTCAGTGTATGCAAGTTATGTAATGTTGCTATAAATATCTAGTAAACAAAATTTAGTTAAACACACACAGCAAACTTATATATATATTATATATATATATCACAGTATATATCACCAAATTGATAGAAAAGTAGATCCCCACAAAGAATGTATTGGAAACCGTGCCACTATATATCTATTTGGGGAACACCATTATCGCATATCCACTATTCAGTTCCTTTTTCAGTTAGAGGTGCTCTCATGAAACTTACCCATGCCAACAGGTTTGTGAGGAGTCATGAGGTTCGTTTGCACGTCGTTGGAGTCGCCAGATGTTCACCAGTCTCAAGAAATGCAAGGACTGAGGGATCACTCTGATTTGTGCTTGGCAGGATTGGTGGTTTTTCATGTCTTGTACTCTGCTTTCAAGCCAGCTCCAACCGTTCCCTGCCACCCGCCTTCGGTGAAAAAGACTCGTGCAAACATCGAGAAAGATATGAAAACAACTAACAAACCTTCTTGACAAAGCCATCATCCATTCGAACTTCCGGGCTGGAATATGCGATTCATCCTGCTCTTTTGATTCTTACTCATGGAGAAAAAAATAAGAAACTATTGCACCTATAGCGTCCTATATCCATCCCCTTTGAAATAAAGGGGGAGGGTTGACAACCGCAGTTTTGTAAGGGCTCCAGGGTTGCAGTCTACAAAAGCCCTGACCCAAGGGCATTGGGTTTGTACAAAATGACACGGGCCAGAGTGGGCTTGTACAAAACCTTTGACCCAAAAAAGGACGCTGCCGGACCGCCCCGCCTGGTCGACTGAGGAAGGCCATCGTCCCGGATCAGAACATCACTAGTACTTGGTCGTGCCTTGCCCGCGGCCTCCGTCCGTCCGGGGGACGATGGGTTTTGGATGGTTTTGATTCCTTCTTCCGGGCGGCCCTTGGGAGATCATGTGACACGATGTCGCACTTCTTCCCGTCCTGTGAATGCATGTGGAAGCCTTGAAGACCGGCATTTGTGTATGGCCACAGTCCCTCAACATGTAGAACAAGTAGAGCTGACTGTCACTTTTGACATCTCTCCTGATGCTGCGCCTCACAATCTGTGCAAAGAAGCCGATTCTTTTTGATTGATCATTATGACCTTATGTGATGTGGGCTATCAGCGGCAAAGGGCATCATAACTAAATAACATCACTACACGAAAAAGACCGCGGGAGCCAGGGGGGGTGGAATATGACCCCAAATCACTTCGGGCTGGAGAACCTCTGGAGCCTGCTATTCACAGGCAGATTTACTCAGGTTGTCCAGCCGAGGTTTTCCGTTTGGCGACCTGAGACTAACGCCCCAACTGGCGGCACGAGTGTCGGCGCATCTGAGGTCGACGAAGGTGGAGGTTTCTCGGTTTGCAGAGACGGTTGAGAATGGTCTTATAAACAAATAATTACAATAATAAAGATCACCAAAACGAAGCAGGATCCGAGAACCAACATGGTTGAACAAAGCAGTTCAAATTCTCTTTTTGTGGCCAAGCTTAACCAAGAACTCCACAGCATTTGGACAATTTTTGCCACTTTGCCCGAGGCAGATGACTCGGGGAATTTCTATTTCTTTGGTCAGCCGCTACCTCCTGGCAGAGCTTGCCGTCGCATCCTACAGGTTATTCTTACAGGACAAGTCTGACATCATTGCACCTGAAAAAAAAGAAAACAAACAAACACAAAAAAGATGCGAACCACCAACGTTTCCAAATATCTGAACCTTGCCACACTTCTTCAGAGGCGAACCATCATATTCAGGTGTTCCGAATATTTCTGCATAGTTTTTCAGTCTTCGCTCCGGAAAGCATTTTGCCATGTGACGGTTGGAAGCGGTTTTCGTGTTCGAAGCGGTTTTCGACGAGCGACGAACCACACGGATGACATGAATCCCGTTTGGGCTCCAGTCGTACCCTCGTAGCCATTCGGTTGGACTGGGGGAGTTTGGGCTCCGGTCCACCTTTTGGTACGAGGTACGAGTCCTCGACCTGTCGAGGTGCCCGTTTCGGGGTATAACATCCCGAATCGATGGCGTGTTCTTGTCAACATGATTGATGGTCAGATATGGCACAAGAAATGTTCAGCTTCACAGCTGGAGAAAAGAGGGGTCGTCCCCTAAACCGGTGCCTTTATCTCTCGGAGTCGTAGAAATGTTCGAAACGAATCCATCCCCATCCCAACTCATGTTTTTTCTTGTCCGGGGAACGCTGGACACACGTGTGCGCCCCGAAGCACCATTTTTTCAGCTCGTTGGAGTCTAATTTTTGTTCACATGGTGTGCGCGCGTGTGCGCATGTGTGTGTGTGTGTGTTGATGCGTTCAGTTCTGGAAGAATCCTGGAAGATTCACAGCCGGATCTCACACGTCGTTTCAGCATGTTTCAGCGCCTGGCTACATGATGATCTCACACCGAGGGCTCGAAAAAACGCCATCAAATCACGATACGTAATAACGTCACCCGTCATGTCATGACCTGAACCAGCCAGTGCCAGAGTGGAAGTACCTCATACTGTATCTGAAATCTCCTGGCACTGGAAGATTGGAAGTAAAGCACCTGTGTAGATGGATGTCTCCTTGTGATGCCTCAGCTAGTGTTTTTTCCTTCTCACAATTGCTTGGGCCAACCACCAGGTCACCAGACATTACTAGGGTCGTCATGGTCGTCAGATGATCAAACAAAGACTTTGCCCAGTGAAAATCTCAGATGCTTCGCAAATGCGGACCTGGTGTTTCTAGTCGTTTGATAGGTGCACATGGTGCATGCTATCAACATCGATGTCAATAATTTGCTTTGGCAACTCACAGGCCCTCCGTTCACTGCAGTTGACCTAGAAACGCAGCTTTGCAAGCTCTGGTCTTTTGTCTTGAGACTTTGCTCACAGTCATTCAATCGCAACATTATTTAGAGGAGTATGCTCTTGTTTGTTGGGAAAGAAAACATGATGAACCAGTCAGATCCAGAACATCTTTATAACAGGCTAAGTGAAATGCACGGGCACATCGTTTTCAGAAAACGATCGCACGAATCCATCCATTGGGCCAGTGCTCCGGTCGGGATCCAAGTCATCAAAGTGGGCACCGCACGGTGCTGTGGATGATCCCAGGACTTTCATCTTCCTTGATTTGTGGTGGCTTCTTCACGGTCTCTTTAGCACTCAGTGGCCTTTGGGCTGTTCCGGGGCACCGAGATGCGAGTAGTTTTTGGAGTGGCTTCATGAACAGGATGGTTTGGTCCTTGAGCCCCTGCTTCTTGGGTGCCTTCTTCCCTGGGCTCTGCAATCCCGCGACTTAGTTGGATAATGTTGGAGATGTCAAGTTGTCGTCAAGGCCGAAGAATAGTTCTTTAGAGCTCGATGTACAATGATGTACAGGGGTTTTGGGTTGTGAAATGACGGTCAACCCGTTTACGCAAGGTTTGGGTTTCTCGCTCTGGACTCAGTCGGTTGATCACAGTTCTTTGTATTCTGACCCGTGCAAAGTACGTATATACTTCCAAATTGTATAGTTTTAAATCTCTTTTTGGTGACTCAGTTTTGGATGCTCAAACCGGCGCAAGTACTCGTACTTTTCTGATTTGCCTGTGAGATCAATTTTCGCTAAGGAGACGATGGATTGGGAGAGTCATGGCTTCTTTTTGTTGGTCAGTTTGGTGCCATTCATCATTTGTGATGTTCTCTTCCCCTACCTGGTGGGCACTGATAGCCACTTCAAGATCTTCTTCTCCACTTGCTTCTGGCCCACAACCACCTGCTTGTTCTTCGTTCCCTCCATGATTGCAGGCATCCGCAGATGTCGAGGGGATCCAAAGTGGCAAGATCTTACGTCCCAAGTTTTTTACATTTGCAAGGAAGGAATGCACTTTTGGCGGGATCTCATCCTGTTGATCCTTTGCTTTCTTGCAGCCACTTGGCGCAGCAGTACCCTGACCTTCTAGTTTTGCACTAAGCCTAGCCGTCCCAAATTCTCTCAAAAGTTGAACTGGTGCCGAATTCCCATGAATCCCCTATACTGAACCAATTGACCCCCCTTCATGACCACTTGATTCAAGCAAAGAGTCTCACCCTAGTTTCACCCTTTTTCACCCATGGACCGTCCAACCAACTCTAGGCGGTGTTGCCAGTGAACTACATCGCCCTCGACTTCGCCGTGGTCGTTCCGAGTCTCTCCGTGTCGCATCACCTCAGCGCCACCACGTGGGAAGCCGCGGACAACGGCGTGGATCTCGCGGCAGCTTTCGTTCGGCCGGTGATCTCGCTTTGTCTCTCGGTAAGATGGGGCCGGAACAGCCTGGGTGGATGGGAAGGTGTATGTTGTTGAGCAATCGTGTTGTTTCATTGAATAATACACACATGTACACACATAATTAATATATATATATATATATATTACTATATATGTCATTAATTATCATTAGTATATATCGATATAACATATATATATATATTATAAATAGTTTCGACGCTTCGTCCCTCTCAGGTATCAAAGCAACTTGCCTAGACATCTTCAAGTTTGCGTCCAGCCGAATCAGCCCGATGCTGCACATCTACGGAATGTTCCCCCTGGCTCTCAACATCGGCTTGCACAATTCCATGGCGGCAGTGCTGTGTCAAGACTGGCCCTCCGTGGGCATTTGGATTGCCTGTGACTTCTTGGTGATCCTTTGGAGGACGCAGAGGCCAGAGTGGGGATTACACTTTGTGTTAGTTGACATTCCAACAGAGGGGATCGCAGTGGATTGGTTTGATGAAGGTTTGTTCTGTGTGAATGTTATGTACATATGTATTTATGTTAACCTCATGTTTAGCAGGTGCCTTGACCCAGGATAGCCTTTGTTTGCAGAACAAGTTCTTTGTAAAGTTTGTTTTTGATTATGTTTTTTTGTAGCCATGAGAGACTAAAGTTTCTCAGACACCAAGAAAAGCAATGGATGTGATATATAATAGATGTCCATTGTTTAGTTCATGTTTGCAATCTTTTTATCCAACCATCACAAACATGGATGGCATGTGTCAGAAGTTGTTCCTTTCTATTTCTCGAATGGACGACTTCTTGAGCTGCAGTCGCGACTGCTCGGTGCGCGGCTCCTCAGGATCGGCGTGAGGCGAATCTTCTTCGTCGTGGAGTACCTGCCGTGGATGAGCGAGAAAGAGTTCCTCCGGCGTCGCGCGGCGGGAGAAAGACAGAAAGGTCCGGCCCTGGGTGGGAAGAGGGAGATCTCTTCTCGGAAAGAACTATTGGGTGGAAAGACCTGTGTGAGATGCCCTTTTCCTGCCCTAAAAGACCATCCCAGAAGCTGAAGAGAAAGGGTTCGTGGCAGAGTCAAGGGTCTGACGGCCTGTGTTTGATGCTTTCAGGACCAATTATTGGTGGGTGGTGTGAAAAATGGCACGGAGGGATGAAGTATTTTGTAACATGTATATACATGTATGCTTCATGGATGTAAGTGGAGCTTTTCAGAGGTTGTTTGGTTAGTTGTGGAGTCATTTTGTAACTTTTGCAGCCTAGCGCGGGTGGCATGGGCGGTCGACACGGGCTACACAACGTTGCAAAACCTTGGGACACCGGATGCAATGTTGGATGTGGGTGTATAGGAGGCCGCAGACGTTGATCATTCCCAGTTTCTTTGATATTCAATAGGAACAAGAAGCTACTATAAGGGCTCCTGGCATCGCTACTAGGAGCAAGGACGCTACTAGGGGCTCCTGGCCATACTACTATAGTAACAAGAAGCTATTAGGAACAAGGGCATCGCTATTAGGAACAATAGTTATATTTCAATGCAATTCTTGGTCGGATTCGAGGGACTCTGGAAGGACTGCCGGTGAACGACGGCCGTTCTTCTGGATATTGAACAGGTACCTGAACAGACACGAGTCGCCAAATCTTTTTAAACAGTGCCGATGTTATTGGGCTGGGCATGGTTGGGTAGCAAAACACATCAACGAAACTGAGAGGACTTGTCCCCAACCTGTCATGCTTCGACGCTTTTTTGTGGATGCTTCGACGCTTCTATAGACAACATCGACTGCATGCCAACTATCCTGGCAGTAGGAAAGCAGTTTGAGTTGAACCACCTTGAACCCATAATTCGCATTGCAAGTCGGACTGGTGTCGGTTTTTTCAGGGTCATGCCAAATGGCATGAACATTAAGAGAAACCACCTACAAAACCACGTTGAAAACACCACCATTCATAGGGCATAGTATTAACAAGAAGCTACTAGGGGCTCCTGGCATCGCTACTAGGAGCAAGGACGCTACTAGGAGCAAAGGGCATCGCTACTAGGAGCAAGGGCTCTATTTGTTGGCGACACATCCCAATTCAAAGGTCCACGGGTCCCAATGAGGCAGAGGCTTTGAAGCCATCGTGATGGGCTGGGGGCTGACGGCTGCTTTGTCCAGCTACTTGGATGACAAGTGATGGCGCCCTCACCCGGTTGCTGGGGGAGTCTTGGGGCAGTCATGTCCTGAGAAATATACCCCCCCTCCAACAATCATGGAAGTGGACAGTGGTCTCCTGGAACACTATTTTCCTCTACAAACAGGGCATTGTCCACTTCCATGTTTGTTTCAGGGAGTGTATGACATCATATGACACATTTTATAAAAAAATAGCTACATAAAGAGACGACCCCGGCTTTTGAACCATCTCTTTCAGGCTCCTAACCGAGATCCCATGCGCGGTTCGCTCGTGCTCGGCAGCTCGAAAGAGCATGATCACCCAGTTCGGAGACCTGGTCGCCCGTTCGAAAGCATTGGATGTTTGAGACTGTGAAAGATGCCTGGGTAATCCTGGGTAATCCTTCCACCCCCTCAATCCTGCTTTCACTTGCTCAGATGCTCAAGTCCAATACCTATGCGACCAAGCCACCAATAGAGTCTAATAGAGTTGGGGTGTTCGCACCAAGCTAGTATCTTGTTTCAAGCAGCTTTTGCACCTCTTGCTTCTACTCACTATAATTTGGATAGAGCCTGCGATGACTGTCGGAGAGTTCTCAATCATTGGGTGCATTTGTTATCATTTGTTGTGTCATATTTTGTTTATCTATGTCCTTGTGCGGCGACGACAAAGGGTGTTATGGCATCAAAGAAAAAGAAGAAGAAGAATCATGGGCCAACATGGATGGCATGGCCCCGACAAAAATCCGAAGACCAAACAGCTCGTTTTATCCACTTTCATGACTATTTCAAGCGTATGAAATTGGAATAGATTTGATGTTATTAGAGCGAGTGGGGGGTTGTCCCCAGCTCGGATGGCCAGAACACAATGGGCACAGGTGTTTTAATTTCTTCATGTTTGTTTCCAGCAGGACGGGTCATAGGATGTCATACTTGCGATACTTGCAGGGCCTGAGATGTTGCCAATCATAGCACATTTGTTGATGATTGAGGCACCTTCATCATGCACATAGTGCTCGGAGGGACCTTTGTCCTACAAATGATGACATCATCCGGTGGAGGGGCCATCAAGAAAAGCATGCCAGCAAATCCTGTTTCCCCTGGAAATGAAGCAAAAACAGCAGAAATGAAGCCAGACCAAAAAAAAAATATGTATAATATATATATACATAGCCATAGCGGTTCTTTTCAAAAAAAACAACAACACGCCAACAAAGCTCGTGGTCTTTCCATATTATCAGTCGGGGGGTAGCACCGCCAGCGAACGATCAGACTGCACGGCCAAACCCACGTCGACACACGAACATATGTTGCACGAAAACATGATGCAGGATGTTTTCGAGCATTAGTAGACCACGAAAAAGGAGAAGACTAAGACATGCAATGTATATATTATATATATAATGAAGCATTATGAAACCATGCATTTGTGTCATCATTGTGTCGACATAGCCATCATCAATAAAGCATATCGTGTTTTGACACAGTCGTACATTTCAACATGTTTGTGCAAAAGGTAATACTATCTACTTTTGACAAACATGCATGTCTAATCATCGGCACATCTTGACACACATTTTTTGTCCATCCTTTATGAACAATAGTAAACTACAAGAAAAAACAATCAATATGTCTTAAAGAAAGAACACACGTGTAGTGAATAGAACCAATACATAATACATCATAATAGTCTCTGCAGATCTCTCCAGTTTTGGAGTCTGTCTCTTTGATCCGCCTGGGTTTGTAAGAGACACAAAAGAACAGCTGCAGAGACTGGAACCAGACCTGGATTTTGATGGCACATAGTCTTTGCAGTGATGTTTTGAACAGGATTTCTGGACACGCCTTTTTTAACACTCTCCATAAGTATGTTCTGACACAGCAAACCTGCAGAGATTAGGGAGCCGGACCTGGATGTGGAGTGCCGTAGCCTTGCAGTTTTGTTTCTTTTTTGTACACATTTGGCCGTAGCATGTTGCTTTTGACGCGTTTTTTTTTAAGCTTGCAAACCCCTGGTCCTAAAACGTTGAAACTGCAAAGACTATGAGCCCTCCGTCCGAATTTGCCTCCATAGTTTTTCCTTTGTTGGATGTGCAATTTGTCAAACAGTATCAAAAAGTGTCAACCACCTGCTGCTTTCCAAAAACTATGCACCGGTTTCTATGCAGAACGCTTTCCTGTTTATTTTGAAGGCACGGTATTTTAAAGGACCCAAGTAGCTTGCACCTGCATCTATGTAAAGTGTTTTCTTGCACATGGTTGCACGTTTGTTAGTCAAGAGCATTCGTTCTATCTGAAAGTTTCAGCTTGTTGAAACTCCTTTGTAATGTATACATTAAAACACATTTTTGGAGGCATGTGTCTTGTTGAGAAGAACATGTGTTGTGACACATGTGTGTGTAGTTTCTTTTGCATGCAAATCGGCCCCACATCAAAACACACATCACCAGTGCTAAAACTGTATTAAACAATGCAGCCGAAGAACGGTATTTATTTAGATGTCATTCTGCAGACGAGATGACCTTTTACACAGAAGAAGGCTATACTAAAGTGGTTATTTGGACAAGGCCTGTACAGAAAGGATAAACGGACAAAGCAAGGTTTTAGAAGTACAACATCTCTTCAATTGATGGAACAAAGGCTATAGGATAGGGACACATAATACAAAGGAGAGCATATTCATGAAGAGTACTACTGCTCCACAACAAGTTCCACATCCTGTTAGTGCACACTCAAGTATCAAGTAAGATTGCATCTAATTACAAAGGTTGCAACAACTCAACCCCCCGTGGGCCCCATAGCCCATGACGTTTGGATATCAACTACCACATGACGTTTGTCACGATGTGTCAGACCTGCTTTCCGGGCTCGTCTCTAGTGGGGCGTCCTGCTCCTCTCGTATCTAGTGCTCATGTTGATGTCGGAAAACCAGCGGTTTGGAACCAAAGTTGCTCACCCGGTCTTCGAACAGCTTGAGTCAAGCTCGACTTGACGTTGGTTTGTCGATTGATCTGGATGTTGGAAGGATGGTGAACTCGAAGAATCTGGAATCCACCATGGAACGTGCTCTAAAGGTCAACATGTGGTCATCGAAAGGTCAACACCTCGGTCCAAGAGATCTTGGCTTCCAACTGCATCGATGTTTGCCTTCCACACGTCCTTTGCTGCGCCAGCTGAGGCTTAGTGATGTTTAGCCCAGTCGCATGGGTCTTACCACCGATGCTCAAGAAGTTCCTCTTTCCGCAAGGAATGACCAGCGTTCTCTATTTATGTGCTGTTTGCGGCGCTGACATTCTTGCAGATGTCCTCTCCTTGACCTACCTGACGCATGCATGCAAATGCCTCTTGGAAGACACTGAAGCGAAAGGAGCATTTGTTTAGGGGGATAACCGGTATATAGTCGTCATCCAAAGCTGTAGATTTATTTGCAACAATCTAAACTTTTGGCTAGTTGCAAAATCTTCCATGTGCTTTGATGAACCTGATACAGACAAGAAAGAAGACACCCTAGTGAAACTGTGTATCTTCACTTGAGAAACATCTAGGTTCCCTGCTTCTGCCCCTTTTCCGAGCCACTCTACAAGCAGTGTGAGACATCGTTTCTTCCGTGGCGCAACACTCCTGCGCTCTCAGGTGATTTTGGCAGCATTTTGTCACATCCATTCTCGAAGACCCTTCGTTGTGCATATCTCTCTGCACTCACCGTGGCTGGGTGCTGAATTGACATACCCTCCATTCAACAAACATGGAAGTGGAACATGGCCCCTTGGATGACCAATTTCCTCTACAAACAGGGGCTTTTTCACTTCCATGTTAGTGAGTCGGAGTGTACGGGTTATTTGTTCCATCCCTATTTGGCTGCTGGTTTGGAATCCCTGTTGGCGATCCGCATTGCAGGCGAAAAAACAAGGGAGGACTATTGTATTTTGTCGGGAAACTTTTTGTGTTGCTTTTAAGGAGTTGTTGGTTGGATCTGCTTCTTGTTGCTTTTCTGGCTGTTCGTTGTTTCTCTATGATTTCTCCTGCTTTGCTTGCCTTTTTGTGTTTGTCTGGCTTTTCCTGCTTTTTGTTGTGCCATTTTTGCTTTTCCTCGCTTTTGCTTGCTTTCCATTGCTTCTCTGTGGTTGCTCCTGCTTTTCTTGCTCTTCCTGCTTTTTGTGCTTGTTTTGCTTTTCCTTGCCTTTTCATTGGTGATTTCTCCTGCTGTTCTTTCTGTTCGTGCTTCTTTTGCGCTTGTCTTGCACTTCCTAACTTTTCTCCTGCTTTTCTCTACTTTCCTGCTTCTTGTCCTCTTGTGGCGTATTGGTTCCCTGATTTGATTGCTTTTGCTATCTATGGCCTTTGTTGCCGTTTCTTTTTATTAGTTGCTTTATTCTTGCTTTTCTGGCCTTCTACACTTGTTCTATTCTTATTTTTAATTTTCTAATCTTACTGGTTGTGGTGTTTTGTTTCACCCCAAGGGACAACCCAAGTGCATCATATGAACAGAACTCTTTCATTCCTTACTCCCTTCTTGATTGTGATACGCTTCCCTCATGTTTGTTCTCCCTGCGGCCGGAGTTTTTGTTTTTGCCGTGTGGTCCAGTTGGTTCGTATCTTTTGGCACGCAGGCCCTGGTGCCCTGAAATAATGATGGACATTGAAAATGGCCTCCTGGACACTTGTTTCTTCTACAAACAGCTAGCTTTCCACTTCGACAGATGGAGGAACGCACAAAACAATCACCAAATGCACCGCAACAAAAACACAAAAGAAAACACACCCAAAACAAGAAATAGCAAGATGCTTTTTTGAAACACCAAGCGCACCAAGGTCGTTTGGGCACCCTGTGCGCTGGGATGCTTTGGCTGGGTCTTTCAGCATATGTGTGTTGCTGCATTTGAGGCCAGCTGTGCCTCAGCTTAGTGGAGATAGCTTGTCCTGGCGCCCTGCCCACGAGTGGGAAAGCTACATGGATCACTAGATGTTAGAGGCCTTCGCCAGGCCTATGGAGAAGTCCCTTGCGCATTTGGGATTGTTTGGACGGTCATGTGAACATGGGACCAATCTCGAGCTCCGAGCAACAAGAGCCGCAGGTTTTAGCCAGCAGCTATAGGAGTCTAATTGCATATTTCGGGAAATGCATTAACAAACACATCATCACCCACCATTGCCATGAAATGGATTGTTGTTGTCCACCCAATTTGAACTGGTTCTTCATGGTGGAGGTAGCAGGATTTTGTTCCTGCACCGTTCAGCTGCTTCCCAACGGCCCAACGGCGCCAGAGTCAGCCCCGAGCGGCCAGTGTTTCTTGTTTGTTCAACGAGCGGATTCCCCACCATTGGACCGCCGCCCATTTTTGAAGTGTCTCAAGAGTCTGAGTTGGTTGCTAAGGTGCTACAACGAAAATGCCTTCAAAAAGTAAAGAGGATGAGATTGTCCTAGTAAACTCCTAGTAAAGTGTTCCCCACTGGAACTGGAACAAGAATGTAGAACTGCTCCAAGCACCAGGGGCACCGAAGAAGAGAGAGTCTTCTAATCGAACTGATAGCTCCGTGAACCGAAGAAGAAGTGAGAACGGAAGCCCGGGGACCCATGAGTTCGAACGCATCAAATCCATATGATGTGATTGATATGTTTCGGTTTTCTGGCTTAGATGTCTTTTCTTCAAGCCTTCTCCACTGCAACAACATGTAGATACATGTAGTATATGATTGTATATAATTATCCATTGACTTCAGAACAATGTTCTGGCGGAGAAGGCTGTGCGAACAGCACAACGTTCCTGTTATGATTGTGCTTAGGCGCCTGATGTTTGTTCACAGTGAGGAAAGGCAGCGAACTCAGGCATCACTGCAGTCAATGCGAAGTGGCCACCACTTATCATCGGACAGCACTCAGTTCAGAAGTGTTGATACATGTGTGAATGCATGCATTTTAAATGAAACGTTGTCTTTAAACCAATGTCTTTAAACCAATCAACATATCTCGTGTGGTCCCAGCACTTGCAAGGAACTTCCTCTTTTGTGTTCGTGAATTCACCCAAACTTGCGACTCTACGGGGGGAACGGTGTTGTTACTTCACTCCCTTTCGAACGGTGTTGTCCTTTCCATGGCAGCCGAAACTTCCCCGGCCCGCGCGGAAGCAGACGGCCCGTGTAACAGCAGCAGATGGCCAGAGGGGAGATGTTGGATGATGTTGGTGTGTTGATTCAATGCGACACACACCTTTTTTAAAGTATATTAGTGCTACTGCATGTTAATGTTCTTTTTTGGGTTTATTCTGCTTTGGCGTGCAATTTGTCTTTGATTATTTGGCTTGCTTGATGGTTCTTTTTGCTTGTTGCATCATTGCTTTGCTTTTGTGACCGTTATGTTGCCAAATGTTCTTCACTTCTTTTTTTGTGTGTGTGCCCCGTTTTTTTTGTGTTATTTGCTAGTGACCTGCTAGTGCTTCTGCCTTTTTTGCCTATTGCGTTTATTTTCTGTCGCTTCCCTGGTTATTTGCTTTTGTTTTGCGTTTGCTGCTTGTTCGCATGTCATTACTGTACATGTTTGCTTCCTGCCTGCCTTTCTTGGACTTGCTTTGACACGGCTCTACGTTGCTTTTACAATACGGTCTTTGTCATTTTCATGACGCTAGCTTTTGCATTGGGTTCTGTCCACTTCTATACGTGTGTTCCTTGCTTTTTGATCCTCACTTCACCTCTATTGTTTTCCTTATTTTGCGCAGCAAGCACTCAGAAAGCAGGAGCCATGCAAGCAAGGAGGGCTGGAGGGAGGGAGGATGGAAGGAAGGACGAAATGAAGAATTATGAAAGAATGGAAGAAGGAACAAAGGGAAGGAAGGAAGGACGGAAGGAAGGAAGGAAGGAATGACTAGTTGCTGGTGTCCTTGGTTAGTTTGCTTTTGGGGGGATGCCCTGCCCCCCCCCAGCCCTTTGTTGAGTCCGATCAGGCTCTTCGAAGCTAACTAACTGAAGCTGGAACCAACCATGGCCCACTGCATGCAAGCAAGCAACCCAGATCCAAGCAGGGAAGCAATTCAGTAACGCTAGATACTGCAAATACAAGCGATCATCACGATCATCGACCTTTTTTGCAAAGAAGACTGCTGCACAAATCTCCACCCACAGACGCCCAGAAAATATTATGGTCTAGATTCTAGATTGCTTGGGGTAGCAACTCCGAGTAGATCTACATATCCGTATCGGTGATGGGGCATTTCTCAGGGTGGCTTTGTGGGTGGATCCAGAGGGAGCTTGATTGCATATACATATATATATATAGCATATATATATATATACCATATATCTGTGTGATGTGAGAGGCTGCTTCCAGTAGGTGTTTTGTTGAAATCAATCCGCATTGCACAAACCATCAAGATCTACAACAATCAGTTTGCGGCTATGACAGGGAGGTCTTGCAATTCACATCTACAGAAGTGCTCCTCTTTACACGAGCAATCTGCTCGCCCGCAGATAATGAATGGAATGACAAAAAGGGAACCATGCGGAAGTGCATCAAATCGCTGACTCTGGAGAAGGGCAGCTCCCTATGTATGGCAGGGTTGCTCTTTGAATCAATGGGAAACTAAGCCTGGAGTGGAAAGAAATTTTCAGTGTCGAAGGTTTGTAATTAGACAACAAATTGGTCATACTGGTCTGATTTGTGATAAGCCGTGCTTACATTCTTCACGGCCAGATTCAGCGATTGTTCGTTTCTTGGAGCTCTTCCGTATGCTCCCTCGCTAGCAAGTACTAGTGAGTCGAGGTTTTCTGTACAATGCTGTACACCATTTGCTGACAACGCTTGCCTGCGGTTTCTTACACACACTTCCGCTAGCGCCTGCGTTGCAGCGTTCTAGAAGCCAGGTTGTTTCTATGTTTACTGTATTTTGATAACGCACTTGGATCGACGGACGGATCAAGCCACTATGGATTGACCATGTATATATGCTAAAAATATCTACCCAACTCTAATCACCCAATATCACCCGATGAGTTTTGGTATCAAACCACCTGGGTTGTGTGGGCTTAAAGTCAGGGTCTGATGTGATACTGCAAAAGAGTTTGTTCGGACATGAATTAAACAGATACAGCCGTTTTCGTTTTCTTCAGTCAATGGGGAGCCAAGAATCGTTGGCGACGTCCAGATGTATCGTTTAGACGGTAGCTAGCTTTTCTCGTGTCGTGTGGAGGCTATCACCTGGAAATTCTCCCCAAAAATGACTGGGCATCCGAGGTTAAGTGACGACAATGTCTAACCCTTCCAACCAAAAAGACAGCATGACTGTCAACTCCGAAAAACTCATGTTACATATATATATACTATTTAGAGAGGTTTCTCCTGCTTTCAAGTTTTCTGCGTGAAAGAATAGTCGACTCACACTATAGTGCCAGCTATGGAGGTGTCTTTCCCACCTGGATATCCATATGATTGGATCCACCATGATCCGCCGCATGTGTTGGGCCTGTCCAAACTTGGTTTTGCTTATAGACTTACTGTTTTATAGCTAGTAGTAACAAGCTAGTAGTAACAGGTGCCTTACTAGTAGTAACAAGAAGCTATTAGAAACAAGAAGCTTTATTTTGCCAAACCGGGATGAATGCCACCAGTTTTTGTATCAGCAGCAAATCCAAACGACAGCAGCTATCCAAGCAAGGATGGATGGACCGCAGGAGCAGATCTAGATTGGACCGGTTCTCAAATGAGTATTCTATAGAAGAGGGACCCTCCAGTCAGGGGCTCTGTTTTCTTTTCTCTTATCACCTATTTGACCAGCAATTTTTTGGGGTCACTCTAATACCCAAATGATACAAGTCGTCTTACCTGGCTTTGATTTGGTCTTTCTAGTGAAGACCGCGTTGAGACCAGACCAGCAGTTTCACCAGCGAATTTTGGTCCCGGACCTGGGGGCTGGAGAAGCCAGGCTGAGGCTAGCTTTTCCAAGAAGTGGGGATTATATACATATATATCATTTGGGTTTGTCCTATTACCTGTAACAGTCAGTAAACAATTATTACAGTTTTTTGAACAAGGCCTGTACTTACCATCATCATCCACTGTTACAGGTAATAATAGGATGGACCCCATATATCATGATATCCCATGGGAATGGGATTACCACCAGCTCAACCTATCCCAGCTCGACCATGAACCACACCGACACCTGCATTGTAAAGAACAAGTCTTCCAGGCCTTTCAGGTATCGATTTTCAGTCATGATCTTAGGGTTCAATGATCTCAGTCACCGGGGAATCTGGAAGACTTCCGTTGGGATCGACATGCCCGGGGGGGTGGTGGCTCCATCAATCGCTAATACGTGTGGTGGCTTCAAAAATGGCTGATGTTTGAGATTTGATTCTTTTAGTTGAGTGCACTCAAATATGTTCCTGAGCTGATTCTTGCAGTTGCTTTTCTTGCTGGACTTTGTCGAATTGACAAGCTTTTTGAAGAGGCCAAAATGTGCACAAAAAATCACAAAAAAAGGTAAGCTTGCGACCTTGCTGGCTTGTGGATGCCTTGATCACTTTCTCCAATTTGCGGCCCACCGAATCACAAAATTCAAACCAATCACGTCTAGTCATGCAACAATGAGCGGTATCAGGCATGATCTATCATCCCCAAATACCATCTGAGTCGCTTCCCTCGGTCTTCGTCGCTTGCGCTTGTCCGTCGCAACGTCCAACCTTTGTCGCAACCTTCGACCAGCAGAGCAGAGCCTTCACCAAATCCTCAAGGGTTGCAATCAAGGCTCCCTTTGACTTTGACACCTGTACGCTGGCGCCAATTCCATATCAGCTGCCGCGAAAAACGCGACGAACGGCCAACAACGCGTGTTGGGCTTGGAGAAAACTGCAGCAGAACTGGGGCGGAACCCACCGTGCTCCGCCGGATTCGTGATTGAAATGAATGTCCCATCCCAGACCATCCATGGGACTGGAATAGTGACTTGCTTGGACGGATAATTTTCATGGGATAAAATCTGGTAAGGATTTCATAGCTCCATGCTATTCCAACATGTTTTGGGGATGGAACAAGCTGAATTAGTACTGCACCTCTTCCAGTCCCATTGGATGGGGGTCGCATCAGTCCTCTCAGGTCATCTGGACAGGCGTCTCACCAGGCCGAAGACTTCGCGAAACGTACGCCGTGCACGCCGTGCACGCCGTGCGCGGCCACCAGCACCTTCTCTGGGCCAAAAGGTCATCACCATGGATCCTTCCCTGGATCGGAGAAGAAACCATATTTGCATCCAGCTTTGAAGGCTCATGACCCTGCGCAGGGTCATGCTCTGTTTTGAACGTCGCTGCCCCATCCTTGCACGTCGGCGCAGGCTGCGCACGTCGCCGGCGAAAAGCCGTTTGTTGTTGGGCGCGAAAGAACCTATGGAGCTCGGATTGGTCGAACATCGATTGGTTGTTCCTTCATGTGTGAAAAATCATAAGCTTCAGGTGAACGCTTGTCGCTGCCAGGTCCGGCGTCGGTCCATTCAACAAATCCCAGAGCACCCCCTGAGTGCGTGTGTTTTAAAACATCTCAGGCTCGAATTCTTTAAAAACTGATGTCATCTTGGGTACACACTTGCCAACAAGAGTCGTGTCGAAGTGTAAAGCACAGACCGTTTCCTGGTGGCAACTGACCAGCTGTGACTCCAGCTATCTCCAGCTCCTTTTGCAAAGAGTATGGCGGAGATTGGCAAGGCTAATCAGTCATAATGATCCGTGGACATGTTCTAACGAATCAGATCTCAGGTGAGTTCTGTGTCGTTTTGAGTTCTAAGGAGCTGAAGGGGAGTCAAACGATGGTCGCCCGACCGCCACAGAAAAGAGTTCAATGAAAAGGCACGCTAGGTTTGAGGGAAACCAAGTGGCAACACATCATTCTTCTGCGCATTTTGCGTGCTGAGTACGAGGACCAAGGGTCAGATTTTATGTGTTCCATGCAGATCCATAGCTGGAGGATGACGACACATGCCACTTGCGAAGAAGGAGTTTTGTGGGAACTTGCTAGATCAGGACTACTCGGGCCTACAGAGGGACGACGTGTTGATTTTGCTGAAACTGACCTTTTGCCATTCTCTCCCGAAGCATAGGCACCCCTTGAAGAGTTGAGATGTGCTGGATTCCAAGTGCTTGAGACCCAGAGCTGGAACATTGTTTTGAGTCCTGCGTCGCGTAGAATGAGGGAATGACTATATATGTATAGATATACATTCACTAATCCATTTCCCCGTGCCTTACCTGGACACCAGTCAGTTTGGCAGCTGGGCAGATAGTGAGTGACGTGTTCCACCGAAAAAGGATTTGCTTCCAATCACTTCGCACCACGAGTCCGCCGGGCCAGGCCACTTTAGCGAGAGAAATGCCGCGGAGTGCATTTGGCAGATGCTCCTGGCTATTCGATGCTGGCCTTCACGGACCGGGTCCGTTGGTCCGGTCCCCTGTAGCTCCGAACCATAGAAACCCCGAACGGAAGCACTGCAGTGATGTTGTGGGATAGCAGGTGTTTCCTTTGGTCCCTGTAGCTCGAACCCAAACATGCCTTAATTGAATTGAAAGATGGATATAGAAATGGTCTAATTCCTTTTGGTTGACTAATCTACAGGTACTACTTACTGGCGTCGCATTCCGTCCCCCGTGTTTCCACTGATGAGTATGTTTCAATTGTTGATTCAAAAGAGCTGTGAGATTTGTGGCAACAGGGGGGATGTTTTTGGGTATACAGATGCATCCCACAAGACATCACAAGACACACAAAGAGCCACCAGATCCAGATCGGAGAGGCTGATTGGATCAAATACCTGGAAGAAGAAAAACACACACAAAAAAAAATGGCTTGTTATTTTCTTGTTAATTGATCCCGAAAAGTCTGACTCAACAAAACAAGACTATATACGAACGGAAGGGAGCTTGAGAAGGCAGTGAACTCAGCGAGAGGTTCCCCTCATGCAAGACAAATACCGAGGAGCAACCGTTTGCTTTTGTTCACTATGATTGAACTTTTGAACTCTCAGCCTTTGCCCTGTCCAGTAAGTTCCTTAATGAGTGATCCAGAGTGATCCTTGATTTTTCATTGGAGATTTGGTGGAGTATTCCGCAAGTTAATTGGTCTTTGGAGATTTGTTGTGTGTTTTTGTCCCGGACAAGGCTCGGACAGGAGGATTCCTCGATCCCTTGCGCACTTGATCTGCTAAGGATATTTGCATGGCCAAGGCCTTAGTCGAGGGCGCAAGGCTGTACCTACCCCAACCACCGAAACCGAAACCGAGATAAGCCAGGAACCCAAACGGAATGAATAGCTATACACAATGCTATACTGGCTATAATTTGTCTTTAAGCATAGTAAGGATCAGACTTACTCAAAGGCTCGTGAGTCACAAGAAGTCGGTGTTCCATGTATGCAATGATGCCATGCATGGTTTGATGGATGAAACTAGAATCGTTGAATGGGCGATTCGCCGTGAAGATCTTCGGCACGTCCTGTTTGTGGGTCCCCAATCCCAAGATACTTGGTGGTTTCTTCGAGGGAAATACAATGAACAGATAAAATGGGTCGATTTTTCTGTTTATTTCTCCAGGATTGTCCAGAAAGCAACCTTTGTATTTGTCTCCAACATGCTTATGGTGACACAATGGCATTTGGACATTCTCCGGCCAAATATGGCCCAACAGCCTTAAGAAACAGTCGTGGAAGCTTTGGACCAGGGGAAAGGAAGTGGCACAGATGTTAAGTGTCACCTGGACACTCCAGCTTGAAATCAAGCCCAAACATCATGAGGTGTGGGACCGTCCCCGCCAACACCGTCCCCCCCAAACGGGTTAAGCTCAGACTGGGAAAACGAGCTTGTTGCGGAGCAAAGTTGGACATGTGCATCAAAACAGCGAGCATGGCCGTCAAACGTGACGGGGAGTTTCAATCATTTGGTTTTGCTAATAGGACCTTAATAGGAATGGTCGCTACTGGTGACTCTCAGTCATTCAAAAAAAGCTGCTGACTTAATAAGACCTTATTAGGGATAGCGGCTATTGGTGACTCTCGGTCGTGCACCCCAAAAGTAGCTGCCAAAAGAAAATACATGAAAGACTATATGTTCCTGTTTGTTCGAAGGTCATGTATGGTCCAGTGGTGGTGCCCCTATTGATCGTGTTGTTACGGTTTTGGGAAGACAGCAAGGGCACCAGGAAAGGAGTGCTATCTCCTGGGATCTAGCTAGGTCTTTTTGGTCTTGCAAGCTTGAACAATGTCTCAGGCAGGCCGTGTTGACCACCAGCTCGCTGTTCAAGTCCTGAGCAGCCAGGGTTTGCTTGTGGGCTTGATGCCCCTCCAACCCCTTGTTTAACGCTTGTCCACACCCTATTCATCCAGTAATTGTGTTTAACACCTGCCTTCAAGATGATGCAAGTGTACGTTGAGTTGTCAAGCACTTTGGGACTCCCATATGGTTACACTCCCAATAATCGAAGTCTTCCCTTCATGGTCTTCCCTTCAGGGCCTTGCTGTCCACCGGCCCGGCGCGCCTTGCTATCCTTGTTCAACCCTTGGACCTCGCGCTGTGTTCAGCCGCGCAAGGTCTGGGCATTGTGCATCGCGACTTGAAATTGGAGAATTGGCTCTTTGAAAAGCAAGGAGGTGAGGAAGAAGACATGTGTGTGTGTGTGTGTGTGTCAGTTTCAACATGTGTACCACTGTAGACATGTTTTGTGTATTTATATATATATATTATATATATACCCAGACACTCCATGTATGATATATTTACATACATGGTGGATGGGAGGTTTCAGGGGTCAATGTAGGCAAATATTGCATACATGGAGTCGTTTGGATGTATAGATCCATGCACCCACACATCCATCCGTACATATACTGTATATATATATTGCACTGCAGTGCAGTGCATTACCCAATCATACAGACATACATACAGCGTATAATATGAAACTATAAAGTGTGTTCTGCTTTATCAAGAGGTTTTCGGTTGTACCCAGAGTCGATCCCCTAAACCAATGAATTTCTATATTGTATATATACACTCGGGAAAATTAACATGGCACCTGATGGCATGGACCTTTGGAAGACGATTTTCCTCTATATACAAACCAGTGGTTTTCAGGTTCCATGTGGGTCTCTTCCAGAATGTATATCGGAAGCCATTTGGGTACAGTCACGGTGGTGCGAAGAGGCGGATCCGTTGATGTTCCGCTTGGTCGGAGCACTCTGGATTTGGAGTGAGTCCTTTGCTGCTGGATTCTCGGTCTGACGTTTAAGTCAGACCAAGGAAGGGGGATCCGTTGTGAGTGCGAAAAGTACAACATGGTACAACTATGCCAACAAAGGAAGTAGAAACTGAGTCGATATTTAGAGAAGTCATGGTCCAAGCCCAAGCGCGGATGTTCAGGAGGTGTCACAAAACGGTTTAGTTTCCCAGCTTCTCTAGGGCTGCTTCGGACTTGTTCGAATGCTTCCCAGTTAAGACTGACGGAGAAGGTCAGAAGGTCAATCGAGACTGCTACTGTAGACTCTTGATTCGATAGACCTCAAGACTGCTAACGTAGACAGCTAACCCTCGCCCATAGACAGCTAAGCCTCTCCGCCTTCGCTGCTTGCTCCGCTGACTGTCCTCGGTGAGATCACACCGATCTTTGGGTGTTCAACGGTCCAAGGACAGGTAGAGAGCAAGACCTTCCGGTTGAAGGGACATCAAAGGGACATCAAAGGGGACTATGAAAAAACACATGAAACACCATCTAACCGGCGGCGGAACGGAAGTCACCGGACCGGACGATGCAGGCGACGATTTGAAACTCATCGACTTTGGCTTATCCAAGTTTTGGGAGCCCAGCCACGCGGTGTTCGAACACGGCGTGGCTCGCGGGAGACGTGAGACGCGGCAAACCGGTGGGACCTCCATGGCGGGACCTCCGTTTCTGAAGGGTTTTGCCTTGGGAGGTCATGTTTGGGTGATTTGGGGTGTATCCTGGTATTTTCTTTTTGTGTGTATGTGTTACTGTGTTCGTTTGTTTTCTCGTGTGCAGAGGGTGTGCTTCTTTCGTTTTGCATGAGTTGTTAGAGCTGTTCCCATTCAGTTCATGTGTTCCCATTCGGTTATGTGTCTCAAAAGGATCACGCACATGTATTGTTGGTGGAACCTTTTTTACTTGTTGCTTTTGGAATATTCCTTATGCACAAGTGCGCTTGTAAACTATCCTGGTTTGTCACGTGTTTGTCATGTGCCATGGGTCATTCAACCCAGAAACAGATAGGCACACCCAGCGATAGAATGAATCATCAATCACAAATCTTCAGTAAATATCGGAACCTCTTGCTTTGACAAGCCCTCTTGCTTTGAAAGCGACCTCGTCTCAGGGTCAGTGTCTGGGGTGTTGGAACCTCCAGGTGAATGTCTCCTTCTTTGAAGTCTCAGAGTTCTAGTCCGTGTTTTGTAAGACAATGAATGTGGGGTTTGAGTCTTGAGAAAATGTCTTGATTCAGAATTGGCCATGTGTCGCATAGGAACAATCCACCGCAAAACTGTGCGTGTTCAATTGGAAAACTGGCCGTGCCAAGGCAAGAAGATGGAGATGCGAGCCACTTGTCATGGGATGTCATGGGATGTCCCAACGAATCAGCGGGTGGAAACTCTAGGAGGTCACCGTTGCACCATGCGCTTGCATGCGCAAGCGCGCAACCAACGAAGGACACATCGCATCGGCCAGCCCACAATGAACCAATATGAACCAATCAACTTCATGGAATCAATGCGTTCTTTTTGAATGAATTAATGAATGGATGAGTGAATCCAACAGTCAATAAACAATTGCATTCCATATTGAACAAAGTCGGACAACCAGTTAATCAATCAATACCAATACCAGTTCCAGTGGATTCCATTTAACCTTCTTACACCACTTTCTGTAATTGCCCCTTGTTCCGGTACAGAAAGTGTTGGACGGAAACGCCAGAAATACAAGCATCACCCTGAAGTGGATTCCGTTGAACCAACTTAGCCTAATTCCTTCCCACAAAAAAACATCGGAACCTCCCTCAGAACCGCCCGCAATTGAGTTGTGGCAGGGAATAGAGAGGTGACTTCGACATCCAGCAGTTTTCATCAAACTAGATTGACTAGTTGGTTGCGTCGTCCTGAAGCCACGGGAGATTAGAAAAACACAACACCTCTCCTGCTCTGTGGACCACACTAATTTTGAAATCAGTGAGAACCAGATGCATCGATTCAGTGAAACACCGATGTTTGGCAAATCTGTCACATGCGCCAGGTGGGCACACTGGACTATATGGCACCGGAGGCCGTTCGTTCCTTTGGAGACCGGTGTTTTTAAAGCGATCGAGACACGGAGAACAGCCAATATATTCCCCATTGTAGTCACTGCCATGAAGCTGGCACAGGTGTAACAACTATTGATCGTATCTTTAAAGCTCAACTTGGACATGTGGATCAATGATCACTGAGCTTGTTGTGCTCGACTTTAAACCAAGTTCAAAGCTGGCAACCAGTGGGGATGGAAGCATCTTCGGAGCAGTATGACCAGCGGACAAAGTAACTGCAACTATGACATACTACCCCAACCAACTAACCAACTAACTAACTAAATCTAACTAAATACGACTAACTAACTAAATTTACTGACTAACTAACTAACTCACTCACTCACTCACACACTCACTCACTAACTCACTGACTAACTAACTAACTGACTAACTAGCCAAGTAACTAACTAACTTCCTAACTACTAAGTAACTAACTGACTGACTGACTGACTGACTCACTCACTCACTGACTCACTCACTCACTGACTGACTCACTGACTCACTGACTCACCGACTCACTGACTCAATCACTCACCAACTATCTAACTGACTAAGTAACTAACAAACTAAGCAACTCACTGACTCACTCTATCTAACTGACTATATAACTCACTAACTAACTCACTCACTAACTAGATATCAAACTGACTAACTCACTAACTAACTAGCTTTGACCTGCGTGTTGCAGGGGTTTGGGGCCCAGCCAAACCTTCACTGAACTGAGGGTCCGAACGATTCTTAGGGTGGCGCCAAACCGTCAATCTATGGATTTCTTGATCTAACATGAAGGGTCACTTTCATGTGGAAAATGTATGAAATCGAAGGACCTATTATATTCACTATTCCATACAATGAAACTCACTGTGTTCAATTTGTGTTCGAGACTCTGCCGCTTTCAGGGGGCCGAACCAGGCCGACGAAGTCCCAGAGACCTACCTTTTTCGCGCAACTCCGTTGGCACCGCCTTTTCCACGCAACGCAACCCGCGGGAACTCGTGACACGGACCGGGTGTCTCTCGGCAGGTCTTGCATCGGAACTACACCTCCAAATGCGACCTGTGGAGCCTCGGGGCCGCCCGACCGACTCCGTGGGAACGTCACCGGTGGAAGGTCCGGCGGGATCTTGGGTGACCAGTGTCACGCAAGGAAGAAGAGTCTCAGCGATCCTAAGATTGAAGTGATCCTGGGCCCATCAGTATAGATACTGTAGAGGTATATTAGATAGGAATGGCAACAAGGAGGCTTGGGGTAACTATATACATCTTTTTGAATTTGATTCTGATCTTGTGCACCTGCGCAGGAGTAATCGCCCCCCTCACCCCGGCGCACAGATCCTCCAGGCGAGACACCCCCCTCCGGCGATCAAAATCGAGGTGATCACCTACACCCTGCTCGTGGGCAGCTTCCCCTTCGCTGGCCGTGATGGCGACTCCGCCATGCTCGCGCGGATCGCCGCCGGCAGGTGACTCCGCTGGTGGAAGCGGTTTGTTTTGAAAAGTGGGCGAAGCGGTCCGTCGGATGGGTTTGGAGTTGGAGAAGTGTTCTTTTCAGCGGTTTGGAGAAGGTGGAGCAGGTTTTATGAAGTTTCAGAAGGGCGACGTTTTAGGGTTACTGTAGTTAGACTTGCTGTGAAGGTGTTTGGAGATGATTGGATTTCTCTTGGGTGTGTCAGTGTGTCTCCGGTCATAGATGCTTGTTGCTGTGTGAATCCAATGTACTTGCCCGGTTTCAGGAGTCGGGGGATTCGAGAAGAGCAGAATGTACAGCTGGTGGTTGTGTGATTCACCGTGATTATTTTGAAGGAGTGTCTCAATTCGGGTTCCTCATGAAGGAGTGTCTCGGTTACCATGCACCCTTCGCTTGAAGCCCCCGCACCTAACCCCTTCACCAGGTTCGCCAAAGAACGGGACGCCTGGCAGTCCTCCTCCGCTGTGGCGAAGGACGCGACAGCTACCCCACAGCCACGCGACAGCCACGCTCCATGCGTGTCGCATTGGACATGGATCGTTTCAGTTCTTCCAATGACCCAAACAGAGGGATACAGTTTGGGGGATTGGACTCAACCCCTTTTCTGTTCCTTTTTGCCCATTCATTAATCGAAGGACCAGGCCATTTCTTCCAAACTTGTGGGTCTTTATATGTATTCTTCTTCTTGGGGCATTGGACTTGACCCCTCATTTTTGGGCCGCGCCTGACCTGCACCGACACACACACACACACACACTTAGATTGGATTCATAGCTCAAACGAATGAGCGTGATTTTCAGTATGTGAATCGTCGCTGCATTAGCGCTTTAAGTGACTACGTAGCACTTGACTTGCAGGAACAGCATGGTGAATCGTCGGCTGAACTGAAGTGTTGAGACAACCTGAAGGACCTAGACAACAGCCTGAACAAAGGGAACCATTGGAGTCATTGTGTTTGCAAGCAGGTACGTCAGTTCCGCGTCCGGAACTGATATCCTGGTCAGCTGCATAGAGCTTCGCCGGTGACAGCTATGCAGTGACCCTGTCGCCCCCTGCTTTATGAAGTGGACACACACACAAACAGCCGCATAGCGACGCACCAAAGTTCACTGCGGTAGCTCTAATGATGAAACAATGCAGTGGACAGCTTGGGCCTCACCTAGGTTGTAAACGGTGGCAGACAAATATACATTAGCACTTCATTGCCGTATGATGAAGCAACGCAGTGGGCAGCATTGGCCTTACTTAGGTTTTAGAAGGTGGCAGACAAATACATTAGCACTTCATTGCTGTAGCTCTTTACTGATGAAGCAACGCAGTGGACAGCGTTGGCCATACTTAGGTTTTAGAAGGTGGCTGACAAATGCATTAGCACTTTATTGTAGGAGCTCTTTAAAGGTGAAACAACACAGTAGACAGCTTTGCATTACTTAGGTTCTAAAGGTTCCTCAAAGATGCATTAGCACTTTTTTCTGGAGGAAACAACGCAGTAGACAGCATGGGCATTAACTTAGTTTTCGAAAGGTTGCTTTAACTCTGTACCGTATACAATACTAGCGCTTGTTTGCAATCACTCGGCGGGGGTAATGGGTCGAGTAAACGAGCCTCAAAAGTGACCACAAGCCTGAGGAAAAACCTCAACAAACAAAAGAAAACGCAGGAGAGAAAGAAAGAGCGGGGCGGGGGGGGCGAGCACTCGCTTGTGCACTTGAAATTTACCTCGCTTGTGCACTTGCAAATTTACCTCGCTTGTGCATTTTTTCTACTAGTAGTACTACTACTACTACTTCTACTACTCCTTACTACTGCTACTACTACTACTACTACTACCACTACCACTACCACTACCACTACCACTATACTACCACAACTACCACAACTACCACTACTACAAGTACTACTCCTACTACTACTGCTACTACTGCTACTACTACATCATACTACTGCGACGAAGACCACGACGACGACGACCGCGAAGACGCAGACGAATAGTACTACCACGACGACGACGACGACGACGACGACGACTACTACTACTACTACCTTTACCACTACCATTACTACTGACTACTACTACTACTACTACTACTACTACTACTACTACTACTACATCATAGTACTCACTAACTAGCTAGCTTGCTAGCTAACTAGTTAACTAGCTATCTATTTAACAAACAAACAAACTAACTAACTAGATCAGACACAGAACATCTGTATCACATGGTTCTTTGGAAGCACATATTCAATAAAGATCATCACGTGGAAGAATGTCAACAAAGACGTTATTAACCCCCCCACCCCCCCCCCCCCCCCCCCACCCACCCACTTCACCCCAACAAGATATGTAATTTTAATGAGCAGTTGTGTTCAGTAACCTCACCTAATTACATGTCAGGTGCAAGAACTTACATTGTTTGGTGGTTGAGTATCTTTTCATTTTCTCCTACCCCCCCACCCAATAGGTTGTTGGTGGTTGAATGTCCTTTCACCTTCACTTTCCTCCTGAAAGTGTGCAAGTGAGTGCTAAGTGCGCAAGTGAGGTAAAGTGCGCAAGTGAGGTTATTTGGGGGTGCGCAAGTGAGTGCTTGGCCGGCGGGGGGGGTAGTGTGATCGACACTCGGTCGTAAAGCCGGTTCTGGCGCTCTCTGGACTGAAACATCTCTGGCAACGAACGGAAATTGAAGCATGCAGTGAATTACTCAAGGGTGTAGAACGAAAAAGTCGGTAAAATATTTTCCGTGGACTCGGCAGTAGTCGATCAGCGTTTTCGTGCAATATCGGTTAATCAGAGAATGGTTCACGGTGCATATGCGTGGATCCGAGGTTGTCAGCTTTGAATTCAGCGCCCCGAACGGATCACACAGCACACCCAAGTGGGAAGATGCTGCTGAACACATTTAGTTTCATAGCTCAAATGAATGAGCGTGATTTTCAGTATGTGAATCGCCGCTGCATTAGCGCTTTTAAGTGACTACGTAGCACTTGACTTGCAGGAACAGCATGGTGAATCGTCGGCTGAACTGAAGTGTTGAGACAACCTGAAGGACCTAGACAACAGCCTGAACAAAGGGAACCATTGGAGTCATTGTGTTCGCAAGCAGGTACGTCAGTTCCGCGTCCGGAACTGATACCCTGGTCAGCTGCATAGAGCTTCGTTGGCGACAGCTATGCAGTGACCCTGTCGCCCCCTGCTTTATGAAGTGAAAACTCTTGGAAACAGAGGTGGACACACACACACACATTTGGGATATGGACTTTGTGACATGGGTGTAATGAGAAGGCTTCGGAGTGAACCAGAAGTCCTGAAGGGAGAGCATTTGCACAGAGGTATTGCATGAAATCATGAGCCTACAGATCTAAGACCCAGTATAAAGCATGGTCCTTTACCTCATTGAGTAGTGCTGTTGTATGATCACCAGTAAAAATGAGGTCAATTTGATCTGCAGGTTGAGCATCCGTTTGTCCATGACACCGCTGTCATGGCGCCATGCTTCACAGGACTTTGTCGAGAAGCTGTTGACTGTGCCGCAGTTGCATTGGAGCAGGTGCCGAGACCAGGAGTTCCAAAGGAGTGGTTTTTAAACACATCCAGTGAGTGGGAAAATGGACACCACTAGCCTATCCTCCATTGGGCAGGAATTCGGAAATGCAGAGATCATGTTTCACCAAGTCCAGTGATACTCTATTTCAGAGCTCCGCCCAAGCCAAAATGCGTGAAGACCGGTATTTATACAAGAAACATTGTTTTAGTTTATCGGGGCCTTCGTGAATTCCTTGTACAGAACATTATCTTGCCAGGTTTTATTCGCGAACGAGAAAGACATGCAGTCAATGAGTTCATCCCCCCAGCCCATGCGCCCGGCATTTGCAGCTGCCTCCCTGACCACTCCGAGGTGAACCACCTTCAGCGGCTCTCCGCCGAGCAGGCCCTGGCGCACGCCTGGATTGCGTCGCGCGCACCTGGGCAGTCAGAACTCAGCGGAACGCGCCAGCGTCAGACGAACGTAGGGTGACAACTCAGCGTCTAAGAACAAGGGCGAGAAGGGTAGAGACAATACCGTACAAATTGTTCTCAAGATGGGTATGTCCGTCGGATTTTCTATACTGCTGCAGGGCGGATCTTTTCTCAGGACGGTCTCAGATCTCGTGGGCCGTCGTTTCGACAACAAGTTGATATACCAATAGAAACAAGTTTTGTGAAAAGAAGCTCACTTATAGCTGATAAACCACTAAAAAGAGGTGAAACGTGGTGAAACACGCTTACACAGTTTAACCGAGAAACCAATATAATCAGACTGACTTGTCAAGCTTTAAAACAAGAAACAACGTCGATCAACCACAAATGCTGCTGGAAGACTCCAGACTCCGCCGGTGTGTCCCAGTAGTCCAGCATAGCTGTTGGCAAAAGATGTTCAGATATGTTCAGTATTCATAAAGGCCTGCAACCTAAATATCATCATCACCACCACCACCACCATCATCATCATCATCATCATCCACTGTTACCCAAACCATGAACATGTGTGGTCGAAGCAATGACAAGCCTTGTATGGACTCTGAACATGTCGCACTGCCGGATTCCGTGTGAGATTGAGCTGTTACAATTTGGATTAACATCACTTCTTTGTTGATTTAAAACGCCCTGCGTATTCCCCAAGTCTTACAGAGAGGAAGTGCTGCTTGGTGTTCTCTAATATGGATTAATGGATGATATAGATGGTGTTAACAGAGCAGATGTCGATGGATGACGTCTGTTTGTTGGGTCATCCTCAGGTAGAGGACGGATATCGAACACTTCATAGCAAACCTCCCACCCGGGAGTCATATATTACATTGTGTCTCCTTCAATCGCAAACACTTGACTGAAAGCCTGGGAAGCAATTGAACATCTCAGATTCATGTGGTAACAGAAAGGATTGTTGGGAGCCGAATGACAGCTGCACTGGAAGAAAAGGAACAAGGCGTGAATTCATTGATACCACCATGGGAGTCACCATGGGTGATATCAAGATTTGATTGTGGCGCGAAAGCTGGACTCGAAGCATAGCAAGACGTTACCGGTGCAAAAAGGTCAAAAATTCAATCAACCGTTTACTTTTCGACTTTGGGTCACGGATCAAGCCTGAGCCTTTGTGAGCAGAAACTGAGTGACCTGCGTTCACAAAAAGTACAGGAGGATTCCATCCTGATGCACTGAGACTGTAGCCTTTATATACTGTATTCATGTTTATTCCACGCATCAAGAAGGTGGTTGCGGAATTGTCCGCGGTGTTTTCAGGGTCCAAGTAGTAGTTGTCCTCTCCATTCTCGCTCCGCGCCGAGGAAACCGTGGCCAAGAGCTATGTGAGCAAGGTGACTGGTCGGAATTGGTCAATCTGCAGATCTCACTGATAAGTTTTTGAAAAGGCGGCATCTTGAATCTTGAGTAATGAATAATTACCAACTTACAGGTGTGCTGTAGTCTGTGGACGATTCAACCCACAACTACCCACAAAAGAGAGTGGGCTGCTACGGAAAATGCAAAAGGACTGAGGGGCGGAAAGTATCCACGACCATGCCGCCTCAAAGAGATCGAGGAGACCAGACCACCTTGTTCCAAAAGTCCTGGAAGTAACTCTCATGAGACATGGAAGTGGAAGAATGCCAAACTGCCCCTACGAAGCGACTGAAGATGAGCCTAAGATCACATGAACCAACAGTCCACCGCATGGTCTTGCGCCGATGGAGCATACTGCACACGAAACCCATTTAGGCAAACGAAATCCAGGTGGTGGACTCCAAAAACGATATCTCATGTGTAACAACGATATCTCAGTTGTTGGACCTAGTACTTCGGCGGCGCTGTTTGGTCGAATAATAATGTGGAAGCCCTGGTGTTTCTTCTTCTCAGCACTCTCGAGCTTCAACGACCTCCAAAGTTCAAACTTATACCGACCCTTAAAACTCACCCCTTGGGATAGGTACCTTGTCAGGTCCTTGGAGCGCTTGCGCACGCGTGGTCAGCACCCAGTTACGCATGCGCAGACTTCGCCCCACACACGTGTTCAGCGCTGCCCCACGTGTACTTCGCCCGCGGGCCCCCTGCCCGGCCAGGAGATTGTGGATGCTCTTTGCTCCTTCTCCGAATCTTCAGCCTTCCGACGTGCCGTGGTTGCGAGGTGTTGCTCATTGGAAGCATAAATCGTAAACACTGCATGACAGCGGAAGTGAGACCATTCGAAGCTAAACTATTCAACAAAGTGAGTGTGTTTTTCTTCCGCCTAAATGTTGAGCTGAGACCACCAACAGTCCCCAAGGACCCCCAGCTGCATCCGATCCACTCAGTGCAGCCCACTCAGCAAACCTGATGACACTCTCTCTCTTTCTATACAGCGGCGACTCCTGTGTACATTACGACATTCTCTCAGTCTTCTCTCCGCAGATTCAAGAGACTTCTTCGTTTTTCAATGGTGTTTTCCATGGTTTCTCAAAAGCCTCAGAGTGATAGAAATCTGATCCACTCCCAGAAAACTCCACTGATCCCATTCCGATCCCGATCCCATGCCAGTCCTCCCGTCTCACGACCCTGTTGCACCAGCCCTGCACCACGACCGTGGCATGTCTGGGTGTTCTCTCCCCCGCGGGTGCCACCGGCGCCCCCGTAGGGGCGCACGCGCGGGCTCCGTCGCAGGTGCCTGTCTCTCAGTGATGGCCATGTCCCTCTCCAACGAGGACCGGGGGAAAGATCCGGAGCCGCGGCGACCTGAGGGTCCGACGGAAGGCCGTAGCTGCGGCGACCTTCCATTGGGAAAGAAGCTTTCAGCGACCAAATGTGGGTCCTTTGATGTCCTTTGACATGGGTGGTCCCTCATGTGATGGATGTTCGGAATCTAACAGATGGTTATACAGCACACTTGGCAAGTTGGTTGAGGATTAAGAGAGTCAACCCAAGTGTTCACAAGAGCACCTCAAGCCTTGGGGCGGGCGGGGCGATACACCAGGACCGTCAGGAGGTGCATAAGGCCTTCTTGGAGATTGACCAGGTGGGCGTCCTGCAGTCAGGGGTTCCGGGGTCCACCATGTCCCATGGTAAACGCAGTGCTTTCTTGGGTGCATGCACCAGTGCTGAACCCTTCAGGTCCTCGTCTCAGCCAGGTGGCAGTGGAAAATATTGTTGTGAGCCTTTGAATAGAGACCTGGACCATTTGTCAGCCCAGTCTGTGTAGGTCGTGTAGGGTACAATTGTAATATATAAATATAATATTTGCTGTGTGATTTGGAGTTGCGCTCTCCATACGACATCAGATACTGTATCTAGTCTATACGTCGAAACTGAACAAATCCTAAGGAGAGATCTTTGTCTCAGCACGTCACGCATTCGTGAGTGTACAGTCTTTCCAGGACTGAGGTTTGGACTTGATGTGTTCAACAAGCTTCGAGGAACCACAAGAGCCCCCCCCAAAAAAAGACGATGGGGGCGTGTATTTACAGGAGACCTCCCAGTTCGACCCCCTGGAAGAAGTATGCAAATTGAACAAAGTCTACCCATGGGCTCTCTAGAGGGAGTCTCCTGGTAAAAATGCACAACTTAGATCGCAGAAGGCAGCGTAGCGAAACTGGACGTACTAAATGCCTAGCTTTCGTCTTCCTGGGGACTGCTCTTCAGGGCTGTGCAGCTGCCTGCTTGCTGCGGCGTCACATGCCTAGGCATCTTTCCAATCACAGAGGCAAGTGCAAAGTGGACAGTATCTGGATATGGGAAAACAACTTTCCAATGTTTTGTTCCATTTGGTGGCATTCTCTTCATTGACTTTTCTTTGGCCAGGCCAATTCCTGGATGTTTCCGTGAAACAGCGGATACTGTTTGCCGTTGTTAGCCTAGGTGACTTCTGGGGCCTCTCCCAAATGGGGGATGAACATCTCAGGTGCTGAGAATGACCCCCCGACCCCTGGAAGAACGACCCCTCAGCATTTGCTGAAGCTGAAGACCACGAGTCATCGATGCCAGTGGACTCTCGTGAATTTGGACTGATTCTGATCGAACATGAGATAACTGGCATCGGTGATTCTGACAGATGATCATCATTGAACATATTTGAGAATTCAGAATCTGAATCTCTTTGGTCAGATGATTCTGACACTGATTCTCATCTGATGAGTTGGTAGAGCTGGATTTGGACTCGATCATGGCATCATGTGGCATCATGTCCATGAATAATGCATGGTCACCACACAATTGCGGATACGAGATTCACACCTTGTCAGCCCAAGAGAGACAAACCCATCGGTTCCAACTGTCTAGAGTCTAGACTGGACTCTAGACGAGTTGTGTCTTCCTCGTGCGGCACCTGCCCTGATGGTCAGGATCACAGTGGAACCATCACCTTGTCTGAGCTCAAAAGTGTTCTTGGACTGCAAAATTGATCACCCGTCTCAAAGGGGCCAGGGGTAGAGCCAGAGGAGCAACGATGAACTGTAGAGACATGGATTGTCGTGGATTCTGGGGCACCGCAAATCAGCTGCCACCTCATTGTTTCAAGGACCTGATCTTAGGGTTATCGTTGACAGCAACCATTTCTTTCCCATGAACTGAGCAGTGTACGCTTTGATGAGCCAGTGCCAGCTCTTGGTCGCCACTGAACACTCGACCTGATACTGCCAGTTGTTGAAGTCGAGACGTGTTTTTTTGCAAATAGCAGATAGAAGGTGATGAGCAAGCCAGGAAGTCGATACACTATAGCGTTTCCTTGCAGGATAGAGTGTGTTGGAAGATGTTTTCTACATGCATGGTTTTATTCAATGGGCTTGGTTTACTCAGCGTTCACAGTGTTTTGATTGCACAAGACCTACCGCAAGGAAGTTGGCAGGCAACCCATAGGTTGTTTCTAGAGGTTTCTATAGGCAGCCCATAGGTTCCCCTTCATCTTGGGATTGTGGGTCTCATATGTCCAACCCTCCAAGGGCTTATAGGGCCAACCCTCGGAAGCAGGGTCCGCGTGGAAACCTGGCTTCCGCTGTGAAGCGGGCACACTATTGAGTCGCATGAACTTGTGCCAGATGAGGTGTGCCCTTGGGGGAAAGCTTGATTGGGCTACCTTCGCTGGTGCTGCCGGTCTGCTGCTGGTTTTCTGCTGCTGCTGCTGCCTTGCTGCTGCTGGTTGGCTACTGCTGCTGCTGGCGGTTGGCTGCTGTTGGTTTGCTGCTGGTTGGCTGCTGCTGCTGCTGGCTGATTGCTGCCGGTGCTGCTGCTTGCTGCTTGGCTGCTGCTGGTGCTGCTGCTTGCTGCTTGCTGCTGCTTGTCGCTGCCGCTGCTGCGGCCTTCGCTACAAGGCCTACTCATTTGCTGCCTGTCATTGTCTTGCACGCCCTATGATTATAGCGGGCTTCTTCCATTGCAGACTGGGCATTGGAAACGTGATATGAAGCTTGGTGGCAGGCCTGTTTGGTGAAACGCGGTGCCCCATGCGGAAACAAGTATCGCAAGGACGCTGCCGTGACTTAGTCGTGGCGTGGTGTCCCAGTTCTTGATTGGTTGCCACAGCTGCATTGCAAGGACTTTTGTGTTTGGGTGTTAGTGGGCATCGGTCTTCTGGGCAAACGTGTTCATCTCGCCCAATACCTCGCCCACATCTCGCCCTCTATCTCGCCCAGCCCACCAGGCACCAGGACCTCCGGAGGTGTGCGATGGGGATTGCCATTGTCACAACACGTTTAACGAACCATTCCATGCTGTTTGCACTCCAGGTAGAAACTTAAAGCTGGTACCAACATGTGGGTCAGAATCGGGGTGCCATGGGATTGGATCACGGCAACCCATAGATAACCTTTGAAAACATCAACATGTAGAAGGTTGATGAAGGTTGAACCGCAATGGAATAGTGTAGGTTTAGAAACAATCTAGGAGAAAAAGTGCTTGTCTGGAAGCGGTGTGCCATTTTGTCCAAATGGGGTAAGTTCTTACATTCGTGGGGTAAGCGGTGTGCCATGGGGGTGGGTCAAGTTCACGTGCGATGGGGTAAGTTACCACGTCGGGTAGCTCTCCAAATTGCGTTGCCATTGGGATTTGCAGTTGAAGTTTTCTCTTTTTGGAAAGGTGAATCTGGAGAACCTTGTTCTGTATGTAGCGTTTACAATGGGGAAGGCCAGCAGTCTTGACTTAAGTACTGACTTTTGCAAATCGGCGTTCCATGGTGGCTTAGTATCCCACATGCAAAATGTATTAACTTCAACGGGCACCAGTAGATGTCCAAGCGGAATGAAAGCTTATCTTTGTTTGGATAATGTATGTGTGTGTTTTGCTCTTTTTTTGTTTCCATGGAAGGATGGAGGATGCAATTGTTGTGATTGGAGAGATGGACAAAGTTGGAGACACTGGACAGCACTGGACAGTTTGTTTTCTTTGCCTGTCTGCTCAGGAGGTAGCGATTCAGGGTCGGGGTCGTAGCCGGTTCGGAGGGACCACGGGAGGAAACTCCCAAGCATGTGTTTTTTCGTTGCAACGCTTCCTCATGCAAGTTTCCCGTGCAGCCCGTGCCGTATAAGAAGCACATCTCTGAGGTTCTTGAAGACAAGTTTCATATCAAAGATGATGCAGTAGCCAGGCCACCGGGCAGCTGGAGAACAGGGGATGACCGCCATGGCCCAGGATGGCTAAGTTGGTGAAGTGGTCAACAGGAGTGAATATAAGATTTGTTGGGGGGTATTGCTTTTCCCGCACATGCACAGGTGGAAACAGGCTTACCCTATAAATCAAGAAATCTGCAGGGCTCCATGAGAGGTGTTTTCTCTGAAAAGGAAGGCGATACCTATGATTTTCGGGAGTCTTGGCACACACTAGAATCTCTAAAAGTCTCAAATCTAATTCGGCCCAGTCGGGGGAGCAGAGCATTGAAGAGCGATTTATGGAACATCTCCTACTCAGCAGTTCAGTGGATCATCGTCACCTGTTTGGGGGGAACAGGTGGACACCAATGGTCGAACAGGTGGAAAGTGATGCTGCCAATGGGGGTGCATGGCATGAGTCAGGGATGGAACAGGTGGAAAGTTATGGCACCATTGTATCTGATCAATCCCCATTTGTCCAAGACATCTTCGGGAGTGCCATCTACTCTGAAACCACGCAAACCCCAAACCCTAAAGCTGTGGTCACTGATGGTTTCCGATCAGATCTCCGGGTGTTCGGTCGACGAGACGAGCGCAGGCTCAGCACCTTTTTGGGTGGCGCCAAAAGCCACGGCTTCTGACTCTCCTTACCATGGATAGATTTGGTGGCGTCTCAAAGCTGTATCCATGTAGAGGTAAACACTAGTGTAAACACTGTATACTGTATACACCTTAAGGGTATGTTTGTTGGTTGGCTTTTCTAGTCTTTGCCCCGATCAAGAACGAGCTAAGAAGTTCACTTGGGGGTCTTTGTGGTCTGTTCAATCCAGGAGTTTGGACTTTCACGTGTTCCAGGACTTTGCCCAAGTGATCTCCAGCCGTGTCCAGGACCTTTCACAGCCTGCAGTCTCCCATGTCCCGTGTGGGTGCTCGGAGGGGGTGTCCCTTCTGGATCCATGTTTCAAGGTGCTCGGAGGAGGGTGCAGGTGGTTGCTGTGTTCATCCACCCCATCACGTGTTGTTGTTGTTGTTGTTGTTGTTGTTTCATAAACAAATACTGATCATGTATTTTACTTCGGCTCTTCTTTCCACATTGAGATGAGATGATCGTTGTTGAGAGTGCATCGGGTCCTGAATGACCTGGCTCGATCCTCAAGAGATCCTGGATGCCCGACTTGTGATCTGATTCTGTTTGTTTTCCACTTTTGCCTATGCTGGTGGGTACCAAAGCACTCGTTAACGAGTCCGCTGATGTGAGAAAACCTGTAGTGCGGTAGCGCAATGGATCCTTCAGGAACGTGTTGTTGTTGTTCCTGTTGTTGATATTGTGGTTGTTTGTAAAGTCCTGAAGCAGCAAACACATGGCATATTGGAACACGCACAGACTGATTGCTGGAAAGCAGCTGATCATTTGCTGTGGTGTAGCTTTGGCTTCGCTTGAGCTAGCTGTATAGCTGCATGGCAAGTAGTGATCAGCTGTTACAGGCTTGAGGTCGTTTGCTTTTTGGATCTGTTTGGCTTCCAATAAGTTTTCCTGCAGGTGAGACATTCAAGGACTCCCTTTTCCCACCTTGCCTCAGCAAACCATAAAAATTCTTGGTTCTTGGATCCCCACCCACTTGTGCTCACTGCTTCAATCGATCATGGGCAGAAGCTGCTTTGTTCTGGGATGTTCAAGAGCGCAGGGGCCTTAGGGTACTTTCTTGATACATCCCTGGATCCAGCTACCATGATGGCAAGGTCACCACCGGAGTGTGGGCACGTACAGTGTAAGCCGAGTCCATCCGTGGCGTCGCTCCGTGTCGTCCATCAGGTGACGAGGAGTGGGTGGAGTGGTGGATTTATCGCTTGGGTGTGACAAACATGTACATATGTGATCGATGCGGAATGAGATGTTCCGCCATGATTGACTCTCACCATGGGTTTTTAGTAAAAAGGGAACTTGTTCTGGGAAGGATTCTATTGAAACGAAAAGGTTCGGAGAGTTTTGACAGGGTATTTGGTGGCTGATGTTGAACGATTGTGTCCATCCTTTGTCCTCTACTGTAGTCCTGCCGTGAACCTACTTGTGCTCGTTCTCCAGCCAAAAACCTCAAATTACTTTACTTCGAGTGATCCCCACCATGACATGCCAATCATTTGTTTTCATGCCATGGTGAGTCACCTGGCATGTTGGAAAAAAATCATATCCAATAAGTTTGATCCGACCTGAGGCCGATGAAACACAGCAGTCAGACTGGCCTCAATCCTGAAACCCAGATGGATCCGTCTCTCTCTCCGGATCTCCCTTCACCGGATCGCGATTTCGACGCGGGGCTCGCGCCCGATCGACGCGCTGCTTGGAGCGACGCGCTGCGGGGGACGCAGCGTGAGGAGATCCACTACAGCGACTTCCTCGCGGCCATGATGTCGACGCGCATTGCCTTGCACGACGACTTGCTGCGGAGTGCCTTCCAACGCTTCGACGTGGACAATGAGGGCTACGTCACGAAGAAGAAGCCGCGAAGAAAAAGGGAATGAGGGGAGGGGAGCCCGTGTTTCATTTTGAGTTAGATCCGCTGGTTGGCGAGATGATATGGTGAGCACGGTCCAGTTGGTGTGAGATTCTGGATAATTTTCACAACCTGGAAACTTGTAGAAAAGGTTCAAGTTCTCGCGCCTGGCGGTTTATCACTCCTTTCACCAGTGAACGAATGTTCAAGACGTTCTTTTGTAGGCACTGTCAGGTGCCGGAAGTCTCTAGTCACAGCCTTTTCAATGATCCAAATTGCTGAGGCTGAGAATGCTCCTGGGAGACTCCCTAAGCGAGGACGAGTTGGATGATGTGATGAATGAAGTGGAGACTTGACTGAATCCAGCAGTGCAAGTCAGTTTGTCTCTTTGTGCAAACGAAATCCAACGCACCATCGCACACCTGTCGGGTTGTACGTTCAGGATTTCCTCGACCATGTGATTGGCTCAATGATGCTCAATTTATTCGTTTTGGAGGAGGGTAATTTGAACAAAGTTTGAACAACCACCGCCTGTTCCATGAACAAACCGACCAGATTGAGCCTCGTTGTGGCACTGATCTGTCTGAGCTTGGTAGCTCGGCTCGACCGCGCTTGGCGTGTCCCCAGACTTGGAAACATGCTTTGGTGACCCGAGTTGGGAGGAATGTACTGCTGCTGGTCCAGGGTGCTGCCTTGGATGTCTTTGGATGTTTGCTGCCTTGGATTTTAGGGCTGTTAGGGTCACCAAACATGGAGTAAATGATGGTTAATGTATGTATACCCCTGAAAGAATCATGGCTACGTGATGTTACATGGATGGGAAAGTAGCCCTCATTTGGGATGACCATGAAATCCAAAATACCAAGCAGGTGGTGAACTCCACTTCCATGATTATTTCAGGAAGTGGCAACTATATGATTGCCTCTTTGAGTCCGATGGTCCTGCAGGTCTTTTCTTCAATCGCTAGCTGTTGTTGCTGCCAGGATGCAGACCACGATGGCCGCATTTCCATGAACGAGTTCGTCGAGCTGCTTGGAGAAAGGGTCCCGATCCAACAAGACGCGGGACCTCGGGGGGGGTGGGCGGTTGGCACAGGTACACCTCGGCGGTTTTGGGGGGTGCCTTGGGTGGATTTCAAAAGGTTTGCAGATGATTTTCGGGTATGAGCGTCGGGAATCAGGGTAGTGGTGGAATCAGGTTGCCTGATGTCCAGTTGAGGCTGCTTGGTGTGTTTCCCTTTGCCATGCAATGCGGGATTTTGAGAAACAGTGTTATCCACCCATTTTGGGATGGGATGATTTGCTCATGTTTCTCAGGTTTATTTTGAAAACTATGGAGCTCCTCGGACCCTTTCGAAATCTTTGGGGATTTCTATTCCCTTGTAGGCCGAGGGTCTGGTTCATTGTTTTGAGACGTAGGAGCCAAAAGTGATGTGGTTGATTGCAATTCACCGAATCATCCATACACCCTGGAAGACTAACATGGACCCTGAAAACCACTGGTTGGTAGAGGAAAACCATCTTCCAGGGGGCCAGACAGTCCGGGTCTATGTTCGTTTTTGTTTCGTGTCTCTTTTCCCGATCCGGGATCCCCGGTCCACCGGTCGTCAGGTTCGGTCGACCCACCTACAGGATCACAGTGTCGAACACATCACCGGACCTGAGGTTCGGAACGACAACGGATCCCTACATTTTTGTATTTTCCTGTCGCGGCCTCCAATAGGTCACGGACTGTTGCCATGGCCCGTCACCACCATGGCTAGACTAGTCGTATGGCTGATGGTTGGGCAGTACAGTGACACGATTGGTCCATTGAAACACAAAGTTTTTGGGCAACATCTGCGGCCCTATGGGAGTCCCTATGGGATGTCATACTCAACCAACAATCTGCTCAGAGGCTGAAGGGAGATGCGTTACGTAGCACTGTTACGGCCAACCGGCCAACCATGAGGTTTGGAAGGTAGACAAAAAATTTGCAGAAAGTTTTCCTGCCAAACAATCATCTGACACTTCAATATACCAGCACCACCCAGGTCGGGTGGATAGAGGGAAAATACATCTGAGGTCGTTTTGGCGCCCAACAGTCCGACATGGCACATAAAAAGGAGTCCATGTGGTTGAAAGGAGTCAATGGACATTTTTGGCGCGGTGTTTTATGGTGTTTTCCTTGACTGGCCTGATCTTCGGTCCCTGAGCTCCACAGCGCCCGAGATACTTGCACCACCGTCGGAGCAACGAGAAACATTTGGAGGTCGAACGCCGTGATCCGCTGTTTGATGACCGGGTAGCAGGAGGCTTCGCTACACACTCGGATCCAATGGCGTTCTCAGAAGGGTTTTGATTTTCTGTACATGAAATGTTGAATCATTTTGGAGATGTCATGGCCGTTGATGGTCGTTTTGCCTATTCACATCGTCGTTTTTGTTGGTCCAGATGTGTCAGGGTGACCAGGGTTTATGCACACCGTGACGGACACCGAGCTCCGCCTTGTGTTCCTACAATCGAAGAGATTTGAATTTGAAAGTATATCTAAACTTAAATGTACGTGCACTTATCATGCAAATGTATGCGAGGTATTTCCCTCAACAGGCCGGAGAATGCCTTCACGATGCTTCATTTGCGCCAGTGTCTTTTTCCCCAGCTGCTTAGCATCTTCCATGTAATTTGTGTTTGTGAACTAAGAATTAACAATTTTTTGGTACTCAATCTTTACCACTGAGTATGTATCCTCCAGGCCTCCAAGAACCTGTATGAATGGCCAGCTTCGCAAAAGCAGGGCAAGTTAAGACTTAAGAAGGACATGTCCATGCCACCAATAGTCAAGCTCACCAAAAGTAGAATGTGTTTCAAGAACTCCTTGGCACGGGTCTCAACCTTGGCACGCTCGGGTAGCACAGGATTTCTTCAACTGTTGCATGCACTTAGCAGATGTTTTCTCAACGTTTGTGACCGATCGTGCCCAGCCACCGCCGAGCCTGAAGAGGCTGCCCACAAAGCCATCGACCGTGAGCTGAAGCGGCCCTGCGGCAGGACGCGGGTTCACCTGAAGCATCGAAGGGCTTCCTTGGGACGATAGGGATGATAAGAGCCGCAACTAGTTCAATCCCATGTGTGCAAGACATCTATATGTCTATATGTGTTTTCTGGCGCGTTTCTTACTTCGAGTGTTTGCATGTGTTTTGTTTTCCGGTTTGAAGAGTCTGTTGGCTGAGCCTGCCTTCGAAGTTCCAAGGTCCAGTGGCTCATGTAGTGAAGCTTCCCTTCAAGATTCTTGGCTTAGTTTTCCCAAGTGGTGGCTTTAGAAAGGGGAGTAGACACAAAATTGTCTTTAGTATTTGTTGAGTCTCACCATGACCACTCCACTTATGACACACCTCTCAGCTGCAGATGGCTGCAGCGTGGTGACCAGGCATCTCAAGTTGGGTTTGATGTCCAAACCTTCACCTCATCCCTCCAGGGATGACCACTTCCAACATCTTCCAACCCAGAACTGGAAGTGACCAGGTGACCAGATTATGAAAACACTTGGGGATGAGCCATAAAACCATATAAAACCCCTGCACCCACCCCGAGCTTCCATCCACCTCCCCCGATTCCGAGCTTCCATTCCATTCCCTCTCCCACCGACCTCGCTCCCCGTTCCACCCGTCCTCCAGGCGCGATCCCTCCGCGCCGGTGATCCCCGTGCGCGAGCGCCGCCGGAGCTCGGTGATCGTGAAGCGCCTCGGCGTGCCGAAGGTGCCGAACTCCTGGCGCTTGGGGGGGGGGTTTTGCGGGAGGCAGCGGCAGCTAGTTGGGTGTTCTTGGGAGCGCTTTTTGGGGCATATCACGTTCGATATGGGTGTGTTCGACCCGGGAGACCCTGCAAAGACCTCGAAGGAACATAGACTAAAACATTGGATATTGATGTTCTTGAGCCGATGTCATGAGTTCGGCCCAAATGTAGGAACATATATTAAGTTGATGGCAAGATCTTGCACCGTAGTTTTAGCATATTGAAGCGATTTCAAGCAACTTATATAATCATAACCAACAAATTCCTTAGATGAAGACATATATAAATGGGTTGACATAATCCCCTCTCCCTAATAATAAACGGCCCCCCCCTATTAATAAAAACCCTGTGGTGTTTTTACTAATAGGGGGTGTTTATTATTGAGGGGCACCTGTTGTACCCCCAAATGGGCAATGTTCTGTTCGCCCTAATAAAAAGTAGGGTCTCGAAAGAAAATCCCTGGGTTCCCAATCTAATTAATTATATAAAATCCTTGTTAAAACGACCATCAAAAAAACAACAAAGGGTCAAATCGAAGGTCTTCCCCCTCTTGTTGGTTTCCTAGACCAACTGTTGATGCACCCAATGAATGAAAACACATCGCTGCAAAGAGCAATGGATAGCGCAATCAGGAAAGCAAAATTAATTAGGAACATTGGCACAGACTCCTGCTTAGTATTAGGGGGCCACAAAACAGCAAGAATGGATCTTGGAAAGGAGGCAACATGGAAAAGGCATGGGTTCCAAATCTATATAAAATCCTTTATAAAACGACCATCAAAAAAGCTAAAAAGGGTCAAATCGAAGGTCTTCCCCCTGTTGTTGGTTTCCTAGACCAACTGTTGATGCACCCAATTAATGAGAGGGACAAAGAGGGACAGAGAGGGACAGAGAGGGAGAACCAGGGTCTCGCGGTCTCGCCGAAGAGAGAGAGGGAGAGAGGTATTTTTTGGGGAGGATTGGAGATGTTTTTAATATTAGGGGGAATTCGGGTTATTTTTGCTGTCCCCCTAATACACCTAAAATCTGGGGCACCCCCGACTGTGGACCCACGAGTATTGAATTTCAAAGGGAGCAATTTCAAAACGCTACTAACAATTTTTTGGGGTCGGGCACATGTGTTTTTATTAATTGGGGTACGTTTATTAATAGGAACTAGGGATTAATACATCCTGCAATTGCTTCACAGACACCTGTACAGCGAATGCCAATAATGCTATAATGCATTAATTAGTATATTAGTGCTCAGGATAATAGACCCTATCAAGTTTGGAGCCTTGACTCACTCGGAAAGCCTTGACTCACTGGTAATTCCGTAGAACTCGATCTGCTGAAAAGGGGATGGTTTTGAAAACCTGCAGGGCTAGGGACCACATACTGTATCCTTTTTGAGATTTTCCATGATTGATTTAGCGAGAGGGGCAGGGGAGCACTGAACCATGGCCAACTCATCACAGCATACATTTGGGGCAAACTGAAGCAAGCAAACTTTTGGGTGCAACGGCGTGAAAATGGGTTGAAGAGTGTGGAAAAATTGCGCATGGCCCCAGGCCAGGGTACTCGAAGGTACTCGATTTTTTTGAACAACAGTCATTTCCACATCAGAGAACAGGAAATCCCGGTCAACCTACTGATTGGGAGGGACCCTCCACCCTCCACCTGGGGATAAACCCCTTTTTGTGAACCCAAGTGGGTGTGGATTCGAATTGCCAGCCAATGGGTTTGGTCATCTATTCTTCTCTTGGGGGCTTCCCTGTATTCCTACACACCCGTGTCATCTCACTCCAGCACGTGCAGCTGCACCTGCTGGTGTCGTTTCGAGGAAGAACTCCTCCAGATCAACTCTGGAGTCGGCGGCGAGCAATGTCCTCACCAAGGTCGGCCGAGTGGTTCGGCCCTCCTGGGAGGGTCCGGAGTGGGTCGCCCAACTCCGGTGTCTTTGGGTCGTTTTTCATCACAAAAGCCGAGAAAAAAACACACAGAAATCGCTTTGGAAAGCGAACAAAAAAAGAACATCAGATCGAGCTATGTCACTGATCGACCTTCTCTCATTCTTCGGAGTCGGTGTCGGTGACTCGGATAAGGAGAGTATATATCGACAGGTCACTGAGGTCACTAAAGATCAAAGGTATTGAGTTCAAGCAAAAGGACCATCAGTTGGCAACATGTCGCAACTTGTATGTTTATTTGTGGTTTGCTGGCCTCTATATTGACAGGTAACGTTACACATTTTAAGAATACGTTGATGTTCCAAGTGTGTTGTCGTTGTTGTTGATGATGTTGTTGCTGTTGCTGTTGGTGCTGTTGTTGTTGTTGTGGTTGTTGGTTGTTGTTGTTGGTTGGTTGTTTTGTTTTGGTTTGGTTTGTTTGTGTAGTTTTGTCGTGTTAGTTAGTTAGTTAGTTTGTTTGTTTGTTTGTAATCAATCACACCCACCAGTTGGCAGGTTGCAGATGCGTGCCAGCCCTATTGCTGTGAAGAGATTGCAGCATGGCTTTTGGATGTGCGATCCTACTTGGCACATAGATGAGGCGTTTCAAGAATGGAGGATGTAGACATCACAAGAAGTATGTGAATGTCTAGTCTAATCTTGGCCCTAGGTTCTTCCACAACAAAATAACGTTATCGACAAAGATGTATATATACAATAACTAATATAAGTGAGTGCACATCTGTTAAATTGTTGTTGCAAACATTTTTGGTTGACCATTGGTTGTATGGGTTGATGCCCTCTTCCAGCGGTTGAATCTTGTCCGCTGCGCCATGCGCAAAGAGTGCGTAGATGGTGTCCACCATGAGCGCAGCGATGTGGCGTGAAAAAGGGATCCGGAACGACGGGGCGATCCGGCTGGCCAGCTTCCACAAATCGATCGGCCCTGTGATTCATGATGGTCCACTCCCCAGGGGAGATGGGAAGTGGACAAAGTGGGGGATGTCCACTCCCCATGTGTAGAGGACGTCGTTTTTAGAGTCGGGTCATGCCATCTATGAAGGTGTCAGAGATAGTGAGAGTGTTACTAATGAAGGCCGGAACACCTTCATGTTCAACATGTTGTTTTTTGTTTTCCTGTTCAACATGTAGGCCCAATCCCCCGGACCAGGTTTTCTTGGTGCTTGCAGCTCTGTCAATTAGAACATAATGGCACACTATCATACAGTTGATAGACCCAAACAAAAACCTACCAAACATTGTAAGTATATGTAAGTATCGTTCGGTCTTTGACTCTGATAGGCAGTGGAACATGTTCGCATTCCAGACAACATCCTTTTGGGTTCCTTGTTCGGGTCTCCAAGAGGAGGTCCCTTCGAAAACGGTTTAGACCCTGTGTTGGTCCCAAATAGCGTGACTGAGTCCCTTTTGAGGCCACGAGTGGATGTGCGGAGATTCTTGAAGGCCCGGTGTCGGTCGAGGGACTGACACTTAGGACACGTGCTTACGTTTTTTGGAGGGAACGACTTAGTAGGCTTCACTCTGTGGAGTGGCTTTGCATGTTCTCGTTTGAAGGGCAAGAACTCCATGTTCAGAATAGAGTTGTCACTAGTTTTTTGGGCGCTTTGGCTGAAAGTTTGTGTATAACTACCTGTATCTACAACTGTGACAATGCTTGAGGTTGGTTTAAGTATCCATTGGTGTAGGTCTCCACATATACAAGTGAAAGTAGATGGCCTGATAGATATACCAAGAAAGAGCCCGTTGTTCAACTACGGATTGGAGTATTTTGAGTATCCGTTATAGCACAGGTACGATCTTAACAGTTTTTTTCTTTCCAGAGTGGAGAGTAAGATGAGTATCCAGGAGCACGATCCCATCAGTCAGCAGGGTCACTTTTTTGGGATCCAAGGTAAGAATCTGAAAGGACCAGATGTGTAAGATGGCATCACCAATTTTAGGGAAAACCATGGGAAACCATGTTGTTTCCCTAAAGGAATCGGAATCCTTATAGAAACACTTGAAAAGACTATGAAATTCGGAGTCATTGGATGAAATCATTGGGTGGTGCTGAACTTAGTATGTTCATCTATGTTCTGTTGGGGGTTCATAGACATGATCTTGCAAGGGCATGGTTCCAGTGGTCATGTTCATTTGTTTTGAAGAGTTCTACTCCCTTCATGTTTGGTCCAACATGGTCAGGGTTGCAAAGGGTACAAGGGCAGAACAACTGGCTTGGAATTTACTGAACTGTTCTCCCACCAATTGCCGGATCTGTGAACCCTTTTCTTGAAGACATGGAATGACAACCCCCAGATGTTGAGAACAGATGAACCCCCTGATGCCTGTTTTCATGACTCATTTCCATGTCCTTTTGCCCCCAGCGTTTTCTCTCGATCGTGTTTTTCCACACCCGAGACCTAGGTATCGCTCAAAAGACCCTCCTTCCTTCGGCCGACTCGGTCTGACCAGGCGGTGACGGCCTGCAATGTGCTGCCGGCGTGTGAAGAATGTGGTGCGGGAAGGAAGGGAGATGAAGGAAGTGAGTCGAGTCTAGGTGGAGAGAGTCTGCAGAAGTCTTGCAGCGCAGAAACAGTTGAGACACTGCACTCCCTTTTGGTGGTTGTGGCATGTCCAAGATGTGCAAACATGTGCATGTCCAGGTGGTCATCTACGATCTGCACGATGCAGACTTCGAGGAGTTAGAGCTACTGGGAGATGGCAGATCCGGATTCACGAAATCGGTTGGGGGAAGTACGACAGAATTTAAGTGAATCTCTGAATCTCTCTGGAAAAGGAGGTTTTCTGTGTAGGCACCGCTGCAATCTTGTGATGGCTCAGTCAAAGTCCCTGTCGCTTAATCACCCTATAGAGAATTTGCGTGGAGTTCATTCCCTGTTTGTAGAGGGACATGGTCTTCCTTTCGGGGCCATGCCATCCACGTAACCATGTTAGTTCCAGGGAGTGTAAATCAATACCAAGCACCGGGTGAGGCACAAACCAAGTGGGTCAAAGGCAGAGATTCTCTAATAGACAAAACTCTCGTCGTGGGAACTCCTGGCCGAGCCTATGAGAAACAGACGAAGCGAGCGAAGACGGCGATGCCACCAAAGATGTGGGGTGAAGCACCAAGCGAGGAACTGAATGAGGAACTGAAGCAAAGCAAGAGAACCAAGAGTGAAGATAAGAGTCAGAGTAGATGGCACATACTAAGACATAGTTAATAAAACTGGTTCTAGATGTGGTGACTTATGAAGCCATCAGACGAGGTGGCATCTACACGAAGTATGGGTGGCTGGTTGGGGTGTCCTGAAAATCAACAGCCAATCGCCTAAATGATACAATGATAGAGCCCTCCAAAACCATTATATATATAGGATTAATATGTCAACCTCTCTATATATAAGATATACTGTATGCGTTATTCATGACTTACCCTTTGGAATCAAGAAGTTCATTCGGATGGCCCAGAGAGCCATAGCGGAGTCTTCAGGTTATTGATCCGCATGCTGCAGGCACTGGTTATCCGTTGCGATGCGTTCTGAAATGGAATTACATAGATCAGCTATAGACAACAAAGACAAGTAAATCAAGTGTGACTTTCTCGTGGATATGTTTGCTTGGTGTAGACCATAGCTTCCACATGCATCCGCATGCGCCTTACTGAACATCACTGAACATCCCTTGTTTGGCAAGGTCCTCGTTTCTGGGATGTAGTCATTTGGAGGAGCCACTTGAAAACAGCAATGGCTGGAGAACCCCCAAGTGCTTTTGGGGTGTCAAACCTCATCGATGGCCCTAGGGCCCACGGGGATCAAGGTGTTTACGAGGAGTTGGAAGATCACACGACATTCTGACCATACACAACCAGAACCGCTGAAGATTAGTCATGTGGGAGAGTTTTCTTTTTTCCTTGGCACTTCCGGGGACTTCGCAGGCAAGCAACAGGCTGATGGAATCTGGTCGAAGTGCTTTGGCACAAAAATCCTCTCACTTGTCAAAAGAGAAGTCTTGCCCTCCTTCCTTCCCGGAACTGCTGCGGGAACGCTACGACTGGTGTGCCTCCCTTGCCTAGCGGGGCCGGGACCTCCTTCTTTGTCAGAACATGGTCCGTCTTGGCTCGAGACATCACTGAAGACGCTGAGACATCACGGACGCAAAGATGGATATCCTGCCAGTATATGTGATCCCAAAAGAAGATACCAATAATATATATATATATATTAATGTAATACATATAATGTATAATCGAAGTAAGTTTGTGATTGTTTCCTTGCATTTAGGTACTTTGGTTATTCTTTGTGGGACTGCTTTGCCATGAAGCTTTGTAGCTTGTGTTTGTTGCCCATGGCTGTTGCAGCTGAGGCCAGGTGTCGGATTGCCCAGAACTATAGATGATTCCAGGACCACCAAAACCAATGAAACACACTCCGAATCCCTAGAAACCGACCTGTTTGTAAAGAGGACACTTTGGACAATGAAGTCTGCGCGAGTCCGCGTCCGTAGGTCTGAGACAGTGAGCTGGTGTGGATTCAGAATCAACTAGCAAAAGCTATATAATATAATATATATATATGTGGCAGGGACCTTTTGGTAACATTTCGTTGCGGATGAAAAGCACCGGCACATTTCTCACTAGCGCGCACAGGTCTCATTTGCCCATGCCACCACGCACAGGGGAAGGAGAAACCGGACGTCGCGGGTCCTTAGATCGGTTTCTCATTGTTTTTCATTGTTCAATTATTGCACATGTATATTGGGAAGCATGCGTTGCAACTAATGAATCAGCCAAAGCGTCGTCCACTGATCTCTGGCCTGTGTGAAAATTCTCCCAGTAGAACACTCCTGGCTTTGTGCCTTGGATACAAGCGCTGATGGCTGATGGTTCCCGAAGCCTAGAACGGTTGGCATGACGTTCAAAAGCTTGTTACGCTTTTCAAAAGAGTACGGCCGCTTTTGCGTTCAAGCCAGTCTGCGGCTTTCGATCTTGCGCCAGCTCAAGTTGTACGCCTTTTCCTCACAAAGGTACCGATTGAAAAATCTTTTCGATAACCATCAACCGGATTGATTCCCGCGCAGATATGAACATAGTGTTTGGTGAATTCAATTCATGAGTGGCTTCGTGCCAAAACAAATGAGGCTCCCAAAAGCCACGTGATCATACGGTTGAAAGAGTTAAAAGAATGTCTCCGTCATTTTCGCATGCCAATCATCCTTGCGTCTTTGCAACGCGTCGAACCATCCTTTGGAAGGGACAGAGGCCTCCACCATTTCCTCAGCGTGCAACTCTGAAACGCCCAGGGCGCATTGATTGAATTGTTTGTCCATGTCGGGCCGCCAGAAATATGTTGATTTGAGCGTTAAACAAAAGTTCCTGCAACTCCGTAACTTGCCCGCAATTCTGCCAAATCTGAGACCCTGGCGTGCCATCTGGGCTTGAAGCCCCTGCCAGGTGGTGCGGATGTAAATGGTCTACGCAGGTAAACTGTAAAGAAAGAGCCACTCTTGCAAAGCAATACATGTTCTTTTTGGTGGCTAGAATCAGACTCTGCTCCACATGGATTGTGAAACTAACAAGCGCAAAACACAAGCCAGAGCAC